AGTTATCAGTGTATCAAAATATCATTGCCTCAAGATATGGAAATGTATCTCACAATTCAAATTCACATTGGCAGAGGCACCAAGTGTATAAGCATTATTGAAACTGGATAGCAGTGATAGCAATTGGTGGTTATGGAAAGATTATCAAATCAAAAGTGTTAGTGAACTAGCTCTTGAGAATCTTTGATATAAGTTATCAAATTCAAAACAAAATCTTTTATGGTTACATCCAGTACTTAAAATGCTGAAGACTAATACAACAGTGTTATATTGTATTTGAGTTATATACGGGAACAAAGTAAAAATCAAGTAAACTGATAAAACACATTTAAAAGGACCTAAGTCTAATCTTAGAAGAACACGTGAGTTTTCATCTGAAATAACAGTTCTTGGAGACAACGTATTTAAGATCCAGATAAAATCACCCATCACAGAGGCCCTTCTTCCTTGAGAGGGGCTGAGGTTAAGAGCCCTGACTCTGCTACTCACCAGCTAGGACCTTGCGCAAGGCATTGAACCTCCCTGTGCCCGTGGCCTTTCTAAAACAGGTGCAGTGACAGGAGGTGATTTGTGAATGAAGTACGCTGACGCCTATTAGATGCTTACAAGGAGACCAGGTACTATCCATAAAATTGACTTTAGCATTATTTGTTAACTGTACTTACCTAACATGTTGGTGACATTCAATGACTCTGTAGGAATCAATGACTTATTAGGATATACACTTAAAATCAGAAAAATGTACACTTAAAACGTACTGGGGAATATTTGTACATAAATATACAAAGCATCCAAAAGTCATCTGGCTTAATTTGTATGTTTTATGCAACTAAATTATGAACACATTTCCTCATCATGTATCATAATATATCGTGTTACTTTTCTGAGAGGCACCATTTTCCTTATCCAAGAAGGGAAATAATTATTGTTTTAAAATCTAATCACCAGTTTACCTGAGTAACTCCTGGCAAGAATTATGCACGGAGAGTCATGTCCTAATCAGGTCCAGCTGAATGTATTAAAATTTGAAACAAAGCATTGAGCTTTTACTCTGCTTCCATTAAAACATTCTCATTTCAGATGAGGGGGAAGTTGTCTATAGTCAAATTATCTTGGCTATTTTAAATATTAAATATGTTACTTTATTTAAGCTTGGCTGTAGAGGATTTATTTCATCTTAACATTTAGATGCACATTAAAGTACAAATCACAAATCAGTTGAGAGCCAACGTAGATAATGATTCTGTGTTCTCTCCTATAAAGTCAGCAATGTGCCAGTCCCTGAACATGTGTGGTCGTGTTTTGGATGGAAACACGATATTGGTGCTATTTCACTGTTTAGGGTAGTCCCTCTAAATGGAATCCCAGCAGAGAGCTTTGAGATTTCTATCAGTGTCCTTAAGTGTTATTTACACTCAACAGAGAGGATTCCATTTTGGTGAATTCAACAGAACCCTGGAGCTGTTCAAGAGTATGAAGTTCTTTTTGAAAGCTACTGAGTGGCTTGGGGAAAAAAGCTACAGGAGTATTTGGATGAAGTGTTCTTTCTAAGGCAAGACTTTTCTCACTCCTCTACCACCTGTTTGAGTTTTCTCAGTTATCTGAGGGCAGTAAATATATTATGCTCTGTGCCCCTTAATAATTATGCTTTGGTCTTAATTCATTAGCAACTTCTTTGCAAAAAGGAGAATGCAGAATCTTATTTCTGCAGAAGCTGATAATTTAAGGAAAGAAAAGACAAAGGATAAGTCGTATCATAAGGCAACCAACAGAGAAGAAACAATTACCCATTTCATTGCTAATCTTAAAAAAATTTTTTTTTAACACTTATTATTTTTGAGAGTGAGAGAGACAGAGCGTGAGCAGGGGAGGGGTAGAGAGAGAGGGAGACACAGAATCAGAAGCAGGTTCCAGGCTCTGAGCTGTCAGCACAGAGCCCGATGTGGGGCTCAAACTCACAAACCGTGAGATCATGACCTGAGCCGAAGTTGGATGCTTACCCGACTGAGCCACCTAGGCGCCCCAGATAGCTAATCTTTTCATAAGTGAAAACTGGCTGCTAGGTTTTACTTAACAAGCGCATTTAAAAACTATACTTCAGGGTTACCTGGGCGGGTCAGTTGGTTAAGCGTCTGACTTCAGCTCATGTCATGATCTAACAGTTTGTAAGTTCAAGCCCTGTGTCGGGCTTTGCGGTGACAACGTTGAGCCTGCTTCACATTTTCTGTCTCCCTCTCTCTCTGCCCCTCCCCTGCTCGCTCTCACTCTCTCTCAAAAATAAACAAACATTAGGACTTTTTCTAAAACTTAGAAAAATAAAAAAAAACTATACTTCAGAATTGAACAGTATTCTACTTATATATTTCAGAAAAATCTGTTTAAAAGTTCTATATTAATTCCTGTCCTTATAAACATCCCACAAAAACTCTACATAAGTGGATGAAAACAATTACATGGAAGGACATAATTCCAGTTATCTTTTTTTATATAAAGTATGTACTATATGAGCACTAAACAAACTGCACATCACACTCAAAACTCTGGAAGAAAGCCACTCAATGCCTTCTCTGTGCCAGCAGCCTAGACATCACCTGGGAGATGGCAAGAAATACAGACTCTCAGGCCCCACCCCAGAGCCACTGCATCAGCGGGAGCCATCAGTTAGCTCTCCAGATAATTCAGATGTACACTTGAAGACAACGGTTGGGAGGCAGGGCACATGTGTGCCAGAATCCCCTGGGGACCTGCTGAAAATACACCTGCCAAGGCTGTCCCTGGTGGTCCAGGGGACCTGGAAGGAAGGGGCAGAGGCATATGTATTGTAAAGAAGCTTCAGGGTGGAGGTGCCTGGCTGGCTGTCAGAGGAGTGTGCCACTCTTGATCTCAGGGCCATTAGTTCAAGCCCCACGTTGGGTGTAGCGATTACTTAAATAAAAACTTAAGCAAACACACAAACAAACAAACAAAAAAGCTTCAGGGTGATTCTGAAGCAGCTTCCTGGTTAAGACATCATCCTTTAAAAAGATTTTAACCAAATCTCGAACATGTTCATCATTATACCCCTACTATTTACGCAGGCTGTTTCATACCATGGGTGCTGGTGCCAGATTAGACTGTGTTCTCACTTTCCCTACTGGGTAGTGTCTGACAGACTAAGCTTACAGAATTTCTTCTCTATTCAAAAGAATGAAAATGACTCTCCACTGAGGTTTTAAAAATAATTACCTTGTTAGGTAACAGATTCCATAGAAGGTCTGAATGTTTGTTTCTTTTCCAATTTGATGCCGTAATGCCACCAACCCCCTTCCACTATCCTAATAGCTCCTGGCTAGATTCTTAAAATTTTTTCTTCAAAGTACATCCAGTAATTGTTACTTTGTTGGTAAATACTACATGAGAATAGGTTGCTTTTAATATATATTCCAATGTATATTTATTAAAAGCAACCTGTTCTCATGTGTTACCAACCACTATTTTACTGGTTATATGTATATAATTTCTCTTTTAAATAAGCAGGCTATATACCAGTTGGCCTTGTTTTTTCCTTGAAGTATAATTTCCATGAAGACTATACTAGAAAAAAAAAAAGACTATACTAGACATATTTACTAAGCTTCGTAAAATTACTTTAATTTGGCATATGGTCCTGCCTTCAATAAGCACTAGGCAAAAAACAGGATTTGTAATTATTATGCTTGTAATGTTAAACTCAAGATAGTATTTTGGGGGGTGATTTTGTTTTGACAAAGGTAACAAGAAAAACATAAACCTTTCATCTTTAACAGAAACAAATTGTGACCTGGTTGCTTATTTTATAAAACAGATTTATTTAACACACTTCTGACTTCACTCACCTGTTAAATGGATTAATCAATTGCATTTTTCCATACTCCAAATGGCAATGCCATTTCAAGCATTCTTAAAATGTTGAATTATATTCAAAATTAGTATCAATCAATCTCTACATATAGATAGAAGGAAATATGAGCATAATAATTAAGCCCTTTTTTCCAAGGACCATGGAGAGAAATACCAAATAATGTCCACCCTTATACGAAGCTATGAATAACTTCTTGTAGTTAATATTCTAGAATGAGAATTTAAAAGTTCCTTCAAAGCAACTATGTTAGGCACACATAAAGTAATACTACTAATTCTCAAAATGCTTTTGGGTTTTGCTTTAGATCTCTCCAATACAGGGGCACCTGGGTGGCTCAGTTGGTTAAGTGTCCAACTCTTGATTTCCACTCAGGTCATGATCTCAGGCTTCGTGAGTTCGAGTCCCCTGTCCGCACTGACAAAGCGGAGTCTGCTTGGAATTCCCTCTTTCTCCCTCCCTCTCTGACCCTACCCTGCTCACTGTCTCTCAAAATAAACAAACAAATTTAAAAACCCAAAAAACAACAAATACCTCTCCAATACGCCATGTAAGAAAACTGGCTTCACTAGCCAATTGTTACCCATTTTAATTGGGATTAAAAATGGCATTTCCTGGTAAGAACACCAACCTTATTTATCCCCACTTAGATCTAAACTAATTAAATTAATTAAAAAATTAATTCCATCTTCAGTAGAGAGAGCTGTCACTAATGGTATTCAAAGGAATGTATCACAGAAACATTCCAAAATTATCAAAGTGATAAAAAGCACCATACTGGAATAGGGGATACAGCTTCTCCAGTTAAGTATGCTTCTTTGGATGTGAAACATATGACTAATTTGTTAAGGGTCACATGATGTCACTTATAATTTATGCATTATATCCCTTCCTTTCAATCATCTAGAAATAAATAAAATGAAAATAGGTATTTTTCATCATAAGCAAACCTAAATTTCTAGTGGGCAATAAAATCGCATCATTGAAGCAAATTAAATTTAGGGTATTACCTTTATTAAATAAAAAAGTTACACTATGATTTTTATACACTATTGAAAACAATGACTATTTTGTTTATTTGTCTAAAGGCAGCAATACTTCCCACTTCTCTCTCATGATGTTAAAGCTTCAAATTAGGTCCAGAAAATAAATAACAGGGTAGATTTTTCACATTTCTCTAGATTTATCAACTCGAAAGGGATTTCAGACCATAAAGATAAAATGAGGCAGACAAAAAGAAGACTTGCTGATACTGACAGTTTGTCCTCAGAATTTGGTTAAATTTGGCTTCTTAAAATTCTATACTCCTATCCACAGAAGTAAATTTCGATTCTAGGGCTGGGGAGAGAAGATCATTACTATAATAGTAAATAGTGAATACTTTGGCAAGCAGGAATAAGAGCACAAGTGAAGACATTGATAAATACATTTGGAACATCTCTTTGATGTGGTATGAGCTACAAATCAGAATGAAAGCATTATGGTTATTTGATTGCAGGGTCCTGGTGGGCATTAACAATATAGCCAACACATCTACCCTCTACAGAAGTATAAATTCATGAAAAGAATAAGTCAAGCAAAGCAGTGGGGGAAAATAAAACACAGGAAAAAACCATAAATTTGAGAACATTCTCTCTTTTTGTCTGAAAAAAACAGGTTCCCTGAAGCATGGAAAGTATTTCTCAGTGGGTATGCTTCTATTCTGTTATCAGGGGAGGGCTTAATGCAGATTCTGGCCAATCATAAACATCTGGCAGCAACGAATCATATTCACTTCGCCATATTCTTTCTCTAATGTACTTGGCCTTGTCCTCAGGTTCTGGGTATCGAAAAGCCATTTTGTTAGCATACAGGTATTCTGTAACCTGAAAAATAAGTAAGATTACTGTGTAGGCTCTGAATATCAACCTGATTGAGAGAAAAGGTACTATTCAAACACAGAGAAATGAATTTAGAAGAGTGACGTTTTTCTTTTTTCAAAATACAAAACAACATTACTTTGACTCATTTCAAACATTTGGAAACTATTAAAAGCTTAAAAGATGAAATAAAAATTATCTCCAATCTCACTGTAAGTCTGATGTGTTTTAAAGTCACCCCCCCCCCAAATATTGGCATTTCCTTCATACTTCAATCTAACAAATAATTTTAAGCTCTACTCTGTGTCAGTCAAGTAGACCTACTTGGGTAGCCTGCCCAGCCCATGTCCTTCTCCCTATTTTCAAATGGGGTGTAGGAGACTCTACTTCCTACCCACAGGTGACTGGACTCCGGTGAAAACCTAACCCACAATGAGCCAGGTAGTTTTTGCTCTAGAATCTGGATTAAGAGACACAGAAATTATTATAAATCAGGTGTTGGGCACTGAACTGTAAGGTCAAGTAAAGTTAGGGCTGGGACTTACACATGGAAACTCACTACCACCATCATGGAGTGCCAACCATGTTCTATGTGCTTTACATGGACATTTCATTTAATCCTCACAAGAATCCTATGAGGTAAGTACTGATAGTATTATTTTCATTTTACATATGAGGGCACTGAAGTATGAGGAGTTTAAGTAACTTGCCCAAGGCAGTTAAAAGAGAGCTGAGTTTTAAACCCAAAGCATTCTGATTATAGATCCCAGGCCCTATACGGTTAAGCTAGATTACCTCCCACGTCACTTGGCTTGAATGGATTTCTGGTATTTGTAACCAAGTCACACACCATGACTGGTGATGAGGATAAACGCTCTGAGCCTCAATTTTGATGTAAAATGAGGTAGTACAAAAATCTTCCTTACAGGATATAGCACAGTGCCTGTGAAATAGTCAATTCTCAAGTCACGGTTTCATTTTAACTTAAAAAACAATGTAGTGGCAAAGAGTAAAAAAATACTTAAACAATTATGCCTTTCTCCTCCTAGTCTAGTTCCCATTCTAAATGGTGATCATTATTGAAGTTTATTTCAGCTCTCTAAGAAAAAAACTTAACAAAAACGGAAGGTTATTAAAAATAAGCTTTCATCCCAGGGGCTCAACGTTCCTGTATTTTGCGATGAAAATATGTTTCAATTATTTTCTGGCCTATTGTAAGAAACATATTTGTACCCACGGAAAAGACCGGGGCAAGGCAGGAGATCAGAGTGAGTTCTCCTTGGTCAGGTAGGCATGCAGTAGGTGACTGGTAGCTATAAAGAGATGCTCAGTGGCTGTGGGTTGGGGTGGGGGACAGAAACAAAGCACTGCCTAGTCTCCTGATCCCTTGTTCTTAAAAAGGAAAGCCTCAGTGAAGGAGAAAATTCTCTACTCTAGGGAAGGGGAAGAGACATGATCTGGGGGCTGTACTCCTGTGCCAACTCCTAAACACAGGTATCTCCTATTTCATACGACCTTCCATCTGGGCACGAAGGTAACCTCTTGACTGACTGATACGTTCCCAAATCTTTCCCACGTGTAATATCATTCTATAAATTCTAAAGCTGAACTCTTTCCATCCTAGTTCTGGGCTCTAAAATCCTCAGTGGTTTTGCAACAGTAAGGTATTCAGACTCTTTAGCCTGGCATTCATGTATCTGTACAAGCTGGCCTTAAGATAACTTTCAAATCCTGTCTTATGCCATTTTCCTACCTATACTTTAGATTCCAGCTCAACTGGAGTGGCTGTTTTTATTTTTTAGGATTTTATTTTTAGATAATTTCTACACACAACCATGGGGCTTGAACTCATGACTCTGAGACCAAGAGTCGCACACTCTACCGAATGAGCCAGCCAGGTACCCCTGGATTGGCTGTTATTTCTTAAACATATCATCCTTTACTCTAATTCCCAACCTTTGTTTAGTTTATGAGTACTAAAATAATGCAAAAATAACATTTATAGTCAAAGGGGTAAAAATCTTAGGATCATCAGTATACAGTCAAAAATGTGGTTGATAAATTCCGCATCTAATCTTGATGTTTAAGAAAATTTTAGTAATCTGGGAATGAAGCCTACTTCTTTAAAAAGATGAAAGAATATTTATTTCAACCAAAAGCTAGTATCACATTCAATATTAAAATATAAGGATGTTCTTGTCAACTGAGTTGCTTAAAACTGATCTTAAGGGTAAAAAAAAAAAAAAGAGCAATACATATAAATTAATAATACAATTGCTTGCAATTGATTTAAAACTCAAAATTCCAAAAGAGTTAATTAAGAGACCATTAAAAGAATAAAAACTGGGGACGCCTGGGTGGCTCGGTAGGTTAAACTTCTGACTCTTGATTTCAGCTCAAGTCATGATCTCCAGTTCGTGAGATGGAGCAGCACAGGGCCCATTTGGGATTCTCTCTCTTCCTCTCCCTGCCCTTCCCCGACTCAGACTCTCTCTCTCAGAATAAATAAACTTAAAAAAAAAAAAAAGAATTAAGATTGTTCAACCGACTAGTTATCAAGTAAATTCATAAAAATTAATACCTCCCCTATATGGCAGAAATGACTAGCAAGGAAACAGATATGGAAAGAAAAACTTTGTTCGTTATAAAGAACACAAAATTTTAAATATCCAGGAAAATAAGTATTCAGCAATGTACCACATTTATAGAAGAAAACAACAAAATGATATTGAAAGACTTAAAAAAAAAGAAAAAGATTGTGGTGAGTGAAAAGAGACACTGATGGGGAAGAAGAGTCAATACTAAAAGACAACTGTACCAATTTAATTTATAAATATGATAGTTTCATACGTAGTTGCAGGGTTTTCTTTGAACTCAAAAACTGATCGAAAAATTCATCCAAAAAAATGCACAGTTTAAACAAATCCTAAAAAAACATAATGATGGGAAGGAACTATATAGTATAAAATAATACATATTATATATGCCACAATAACAATTATTTTTCTTAAGGTTTTAAGACTGTTTTTAAGTAATCTCTACGCCCAACTCACAACTGCCAGATCAAGAGTCTGTGGGGCTCAAACTCACAACCGCCAGATCAGGAGTCACATGCTCTACCGACTGAGCCAGCCAGGCACCCCACATACCACAATAATTTTAACAGTGCCTAGTAATAGGCCAATATAGTTAGCAACAGACTCTCAAGATATGAGGACTGTATGTTAATAAAAGGACCATTCTCCATTAATTGGTGCTGGGGCAACTGGTTAACTACTCCGAAAAAAATGTTTCTCTATCTCACATCATATTCTAAAATAATTCTGAGGGGTTAAAAAGTTTTATGTTATTAAAACACGCAGGTAGATATTTATATGATTTTGGGAGTGGGGGAAGGCATTAACATCCATAAAGGGTGAAGAAACAATCCACAGAGTAGACACATCATTCCATAAAAAAAACTTTTGAAATATGGCATTCCACAAGTTAAAATAAATGGCAAACGGGAAAATACCTGCACCACAGCCAAGAGGAGGATCACGACACTTAATATATACAGAGCCTTTATAAGTTAGTATTAGAAAGAAAACAACCAGTACAATATAAAAACAAGCAAAAGTCGAGGTGACTAGGTGGCTGAGTTGGTTAAGCATCTGACTTTGGCTCAGGTTATGATCTCACAGTTCATGAGTTCGAGCCCTGTGTCAGGCTCTGTGCTGACAGCTTGGAGCCTGGAATCTGCTTCGGATTTTGTGTCTCCCTCTCTCTCTGCCTCTTCCTCCCTCCCTCCCTCCCTCCCTCCCTCTCTCAAAAATAAATAAACGTTAAAAAAGATTTTTAAAAACAACGAGATATAATTCTCCACCTATTAAGTATCTATGATTAAAAAAACACTAAGTATTGGCAAAAGTGTGGGAAAACAGATGTATTTCATATCTAATATGTACAATGTAAACTGATACTTTTTTCCTGAAGATATGTGATGGTAATTCATATCAGAAGCCTTAGCATAGTAATACTTTTTGTTCTTATGGTTAGACATTTATCTTACACAATCACAAATGTGTGCAAAAATTTATCTAAGGATGTTCATTACAATATTTCTAACAAAATGAGAAATGCTTAAAGTCCAAAAATACAGAAATGGTTAAACAAATTATGATATACCAACAAAGAGAACACCATGCAGCATTTTTTTTTTAATTTTTTTTTCAACGTTTATTTATTTTTTGGGGGACAGAGAGAGACAGAGCATGAACGGGGGAGGGGCAGAGAGAGAGGGAGACACAGAATCGGAAACAGGCTCCAGGCTCCGAGCCATCAGCCCAGAGCCTGACGCGGGGCTCGAACTCACGGACCGTGAGATCGTGACCTGGCTGAAGTCGGACGCTTAACCGACTGCGCCATCCAGGCGCCCCCATGCAGCATTATTAACAGTCATACAGGAGAATTACTACTGATTTACATGGGAAAAGGTTTACAATATACTTAATGGAGAAAGTGCAGTGAAGAACCAATTATAAAAACAGTCACAGGTGACTGCATGTGTGTGCAGATGTATGCATGTGTTTGGGAAGAAGAAAGACTAGAAGATAACAAATCCAGAATAATAATGTGGGTTACATCCTGGCAGAAAGAATATGGGTCACCTAAAATTTCTTCTTTGTACTCTTGAAATGTTTCAAACTTGTCTCTGTAAACTTGTGCTACTTGCATAAGAATACGCCATTAAAATTTATGTGAGGAGGTATAAATTAATACTTACCTTAATAGCAATGTTAATAGAAACTTCCTGAATATCAGCAAGTGGTGGGTAAAGTCTCCCTTGAGCTAGCTCTTTATCTGTCAATTGATTTGCCAGTGCCTGAAGAGAAAGACAGCATTTTACTTTTGTTTAAATAACACAGAATAAGGATCTAATAAAATGGGAAAGGGGTTTGGGGAGCAGTAAATCATACAGGTATCATAATTCTCCTTACTTTTATGAGGAATATGCTTAAAGCACTGCAGAAATTAAACCTGTTCACCACTAAACAATAAATAACCAGATTTAAAGGCTTATTGACAAATGCTTCTTAACACATACAAAGTTTGGCATAATTACAACAGCTGCTATGAAAACAGACATTAAAATTTGTATTAACACGAGTTCTTCAAAACTCATATTGCAGTCTGGCGCTCCAAAAGGCCAGCACACTCCAAATAAACCAGTATTTGTCCATTAAAAAAATGAAGGTGCCATAGTATATCACCTTCAGATGTATATACTCCATATATATGTATATTCACTACACATACACACACACACACACACACATATACATACTATACATATACTATACAGGTACAGTACATGTCATAAGTATAAAGGATTCATAACTTGCAATCAAACATCTAAAACATCATGATAAAAATGAATTTTATGCAAACATAGATGGGCAAGTCACAAAATCAACAGATGAAGAACTTCCTTTCCATTCATAAGGCAGATTTGACCCATTCTCTATTTCTCTGATTTTAATTAGGATCCATTCATCTTTATAACTCATCCTTTATAAAACAGCCAAACAATATTTAGTATGTGTGCTGCCGAAGTGAGCACTGCCAAACACTATTTAAAGCATTTACCTTTGCAGCTTCTAGGAAAACATGGTCACTAATATGCCGGGTATTACAGAGAATAACAGCTAAAGCCACACCTAGAAAACATTATAAATAGTTTATTTAGTAAGGTCACTTTTCAAATTACGAAAGGAGCCAAATAAATTCCAACACTTAAAGCAAATTAATGGTAACCCACTTCCCCCCCAAAACAAAGCAGCCAAGAGAAAACAGAAATCTGAGAGTTAAAAATCAAGTGATCTTTGTTAACTGTTACAATTCTTATTTACCAGAACAATTTTAGAAATAGCAAATGGTTTTTCTCAATTTAACAGTTAGCAAAATTACAACGCATACAATTCATCAACACTTGTTACAAGAAACATCAATCCCCAGCCCACCTCTAAACACCTTTCCACTTCTTAGACGTTACTATGGACTTCTATAGAGGCAATTACTTTCCATTCTTTTAGTTGATTATTTTAATGTTTCTCTCTCTCACTCTTCAACAGCTTGCTTGAATTTCTCCTGACTGACTTCTGAGTTTTAGAGATCACTGATTCCTTCCTGCAGGAAATAAGTGTGTTGGCTTTCCTTCACATTTCCAGCCTCCTCCCTTCTTCCCACATGGTTAGGGCACAACTTTGGCTGAACCAATATTGTTTATGTTATTAGGACTTCGTAAGTGTTACTTGCAGCTGAGCCATTATTAACACCCTGTCATGATTATTTCTCCTCTCCTGCATAACCTTTTGTTTTCCCTGAAGTTACTGTCCGGCTGTTCTCCTTGTTTTAGATTTTCTGTACTTAAAATCACTTCATCCTGAAACACTCATTTAACTGCCTAAATCATGAAGTGTTTCAGCTCCCGGACATAGTCTCTTCTTTCATCCTCTAGAAGAAACCTGTGCTGAAGCTCCCATCTGGTATGGCTGCTATGCATCCCAGACACAGAGTTGGCATCCTGGAAAAACCCTGATTTTCATGGGGACTCCCTTTGCTTCTGAGTTCACTTCCTAAATCCCACTTCTTCCTAGTTGTTTGTTACTTCTCTTTTTGGTAGGATACATTCTCCTGTAGTTTTCTGAAGATGCTCCCTCTCCTCTCCCCTCCTTTTTTCTACTACTTTCTACTTATTTGATAGTTTCTTTGGGTTTACAATTCTAGTTTGGAAATAATTTCCTATCAGAATTGTAAGCATTATTCCAACACCTTCTAACTGCCAGCTAGATTGAGCTGATTGAGAAATCAGTGCCAATTTGATTCTCGATCCTTTTCAGTAATTATCTTTTAGCTGCATCTCAGGAAGTATTAGGATCTTTTTTCATACTGAATGCTCTGTAATTTCCCAGCGATGTGCCTTGAGGTTCATGACTTTCACACACCACGTTTGGCACTCAGTGGGAGGGCCTTCCTATCTAGAAACTTGGATCTTTCAGTTTGGGGAACTGTTCATGAAGTTTTTCATAATTTTCTTCCCTCCATTTATCTGTTGTCTTTCTAAAATTTCTGTTTTCTGATATTGTACTTCCGGGACTAGTCTGCTAATTATCTTATTTTCCACCCCTTGTTCTTTGCTCTATTTCTAAGTGACTTCCTCAGCTTTTTCTTTCTTTCTTTTTTTTAATGTTTATTTATTTTTGAGAGCAAGTGGGAGAGAGGCAGAGAGAGACAGAGACCCAGAATCCTGAGCTGGTTCTGTCCTATCAGCACAGAGCCCAAAATGGGGCTTGAACTCATGAACTGTAAGATCATGACCTGAGCCGAAATCAAGAGTCAAACGCTTAACCAACTGAGCCACCCAGGAGCCCCCTTAGCTTTTTCTTATAATCCTTCTGCTATCAAACTATTCATTTTCAAGCACTCATTTTTGTTTCTAATTTAAAAAAATAAAATTCTGTCTTGTTTCTGGAACATAATATTTTTGTCTCCATTGATAGTTTTTTAACTTTCCTTCTCCCCACCTAATCCCTGCTTCTTTCTAAAAGGCTTTTTTTTTTTTTCTTGTTTATTTGGTCTCTTTTATGAAATACATTGCTCATATAAGAGATTTTCCTCAGCTGATTAGTAATATTTGAGTGTTTCTCATATGAGCGTTAGGCACTAGAATGATGGTAGCTCTGAGGCGAGGATGGGGTTTGCCCACTCCGAGAATCACTGTGGTGGCTTGGCTTTTAATCGCCCTACTTTCCGGCACCTTTGTCCTCAACTGTGTCTGGCATCTTCCAGTCTAGAAATTCTCAGTTTTACACTATTCAAAAGGTATCCCAACAGTCTTCACCAGAGTGGGGAAGCACAGTTATCTAATTACCCAAGGATGAGAAGAAAATCAGGTGGTTAATAGCTTCCTTATTTAATCCAGCCTCTAGATAATATATATATTTTAGAAAGTAGAGCATTTGTTCTATCTACAGTTAATGTTGTTACTTAAATATCTGGGGCAAGATCTATAGTCTTCTTATATTTTTCTTTTCGATTCCACATTCCTTTTTTTCCTCTTTATTCTTGACTTTCAGATTTTTAAAAAAATTTTTAAAAAATATTTTATTTATTTTTGAGAGGGAGAGTGCAAGCGGGGGAGGAACAGAGAGAGAGGGAGACTCAGAATCCGAAGCAGGCTCCAGGCTCTGAGCTGTCAGCACAGAGCCCCACGCGGAGCTCAAACTCATGAACTGCGAGATCATGACCTGAGCCAAAGTTGGACGCTTAACCGACTAAGCCACCCAGGCTCCCCTCAGATTTTTAAAAATCATTTCATTTCCTCCTCAAAGGTTCTCTCACCATAGCTGGGAAGTTTTTCTAGTCTTCTAGTGATTATCCTAAAATTTATAACATGCACCCGTATGAAAATTCTACGTAAATCTCTAATTTACCCTCCTGACACAAGGCAAGTCCCTCATAACAGTTTAACTCTACTTAACCAACAAGCTATGTATTATTGTTGCTCCTTTCAAGTAAATCTTTTTCCTCTGGCTGCATTCAGTCTTCACTTTGTTGTTGTCTGCTAAAGCCTCACAATGATGTTCCCGGATATGGCCTTCTTTTTATTTATCCCACATGGGTTTCACTGAGCATCCTGAATATGTGTATTGACATCATTCATCAGGTTCGAAGAAATTCTCAGCCATGAAGCCTACCAATATTGCCTCTGATTCATTCTCATGCCCATCTTCTAGGGCTTCAATAAACCACATCAATTAAAGATATGCATCTGTTTTTCTATATTTTCCTCTTTGTTTGGTCTCTGGATCATTTCTTCTGGCCTATCTTACCATTTAATTCTCTTTGCTCTAATCTGCTATAAGCCCCATTCACTGAGTTCTTAAAATTTATTTTTCAATGCTAGAATTTAGTGTTACTTGGCTGAATTTTTCGAATTTGGTTTTATCTCCATAAACTAATACTAAGCATATTTGCTTCAGAGCACCTGTTTGATATCTAGAATTCCAGAGTTTTCCTGTTGTTTCTGCTCCTTTTGCCTTGTGCTGTTTTATCTCTTTACATGAATTTTTAACTGGGAGTGTATTTCAAAATTTGTGAAAGGAATTTGAAGACTAGGGTGGTGTTACCTTGTTCCACAGAAGATTTCTGTTTGCTTCTGCCAGGCACGTGTGGATGCCGGTAGGCCAGAATAAAGGCCTGAGGTTTTCTAGATCATCCATGTGATAGTGCAAATATACCCCTATTCCAAGGTACAGCTTTAGGGTTTCGGCCCACTAGTGGTTCACTAGAATCCCTTCCTTGGCAGGTGCCAGATGTGAACACTGGTCTTCCCTTTGTGGAAAGTACTGCTTTACTGCTCAGCCACTTCTTGCTGATCAGAGAGTGCTTCCGGCATAAGACTCCTTCACATGCTGGTTTTCTGAGCTCTGGTTCTCTCCCTAATCTTGACCCAGAATTCCCCTGAGATCAAGAGTTGCATGTTCTACTGACTGAGCTAGCCAGGTGCCCCAGAAAAAAAAAAAAACAAAAAACAAAAAACTTTTGAATGAATGAATGCCGCAGAAATCCCCCACATTACAGTCAACATTTTGTTAGCCTTTTGACTATTTTCAGGTTTTATTTTTGTTGTTATTTCATCCAGTTATAATTACTGGACTAAGTAATTCAAATATTATTGGAGCCTTACATGTTTACTTGCTTTATAAACAGACTTTTGTCTTCTTGGTTTTTTTTTTAAATCATTTTATTTCTCATCCGTCCTCACCACTTCAAGTTTTTTTTTTTAATGTTTGCTTATTATTTAGAGACAGAGATAGAGCATGAGCATGGGAAGGGCAGAGAGAGAGGGAAACAGAGAATCCAAAGCAGGTTCCAGGCTCTGAGTGGTCTGCACAGAGCCCAACATGGGGCTCAAACTCACAAACCTTGAGATCGTGACCTGAGCCAAAGTCGGACGCTTAACCAACTGAGCCACCCAGGCTCCCGTCTTCTTGTTTTAAAGCCCGTTTTTACCACCACCACCAATTTATTTTTACATCTATATTTATAGTGCTAATAATGGTTATTAATAAAGTTAGGACTTTGTAGTGCTGTATAAAATAATCAATTGCCAAATTCCTTACTAGTTAAATAAGATACAGAAAATGACTTTGTTAAAATGAACAGAAAGGTATTCTTTTCCATGTTCTTATGCTTTTATGCCACAGAAATATTGTTGGATAGAACAGATTGATTTTGAATATTATCAAGTTCGAGAAAGAGATCACTGGTGATGGGAGAGTTTCTACTACAGATACTAGGTCTCCAAGAGATAAGCAGGGTAGACCTCTAGACATAAAACTGCCACATGGAAGGAAAAGGAGGAAAAGCATTGGGATATTCACAGGCTAAAAGTCTTTGACAACAGTTGTAACATGCTTGCTTGATGCCAGCCCATGTACACTAAAAATCTACCTGTCATGAAATCTTAGAGTCTGCTCTCAGCTCTTCAGGGAGAGGCCCACAAGGAGAAAGACACACGTACAAGGGAAATTCAGATCAAATCCCTATTTTACTAAACATAGTCTCTCATTAAAATGAATGAACTAAGGATCACCAGAAATTTATAGAAAATGAACAGCACAAAAGAAGAAATATTTAAAAGAATCTTAGCCCTTAGGAGACATTTGAAAGGATACTGCAACCTTTAAAAAAAAAAATAAAAGTGGATATTAAAAAAAGGAGTGATTTTAGGACAAGAAAAAGGTATTGGGAATAAAAAAGGTATTTGAACCTACTAAACTGATGACATGTGATATTAAACACTGTTAATTTCATGTGGTTATGATACTAGTACTATGGTGATATTTAAATTAAAAAATTACTTTTTCAGAGATATATACTGAAGTAGTTATGAACAAAATTATATAACATCTCTGATTTGCTTTAAAATAACCCAGTGAGGAAGGCACGGGTGGGAATATATGGTTACCTGTTGATAACTGCTGAGGTGTGGGAGACTGGAGCATGGAACTTTGTTCTTCCCTCTGCTTTTGTGTATGTTTGAAAATTCTTATAATAAAAAAGATTTTGGGGTTTTTTGGTTATTTTTATTTTGTTATATTTATATTTGGTTATTTTTATTTTGTTATATATTTGGTTATATATAATATTTTTTTTATATTGTTATTGTGTTATTTTATCTTAAGCAGGCTCCACACCCCATGTGGGGCTTGGACTCACAACCCTGAGATCAAGAGGTGCATTCTCTACTGATTGAGCCAGCCAGGTACCCCACAAAAAAAGACTTGAAACATACACTAAAAGTGCTAAAAACAGATGAATGAATGAATGCCACAGAAATCCCCCACATTACGGAATAAAAAAGGCAGAGGTGAATATGTGAAATAAAATTTACAACTCAAGAACAATAGAGGGATTTGACCGCGGTCTAACATAAGTTCTGTAAGAGGAAAACAGCAACAATGGAAGGGAAAAATGAGAAAGAAACAAAAAGTTACAAAAAATCCTTTGGAAAAGATATAGTGAACTGGCCCACACACATACATGCATAATAAATGGAAATTAAGCCTAAACCTGGATGCATCCTGGTAAGCTTTCAGAAATCCAAAGAGAAAATTTTAAATATTTTTAGGAAGAAAAAGCTAGTATTGCATGAAGAAATGGGAATCTTAATGACATCAAATTTCTCAACAGCAACACTGGCCACTAAAAGGAGAAATATTTTCAAAGATCTGAGAGAATGGGCTTTCAGTCTACAAATCTCTACCCAACCAAACTATCAAGTGAGAAGACAAAAGAAGGACATTTTAAGACATGTAAAAACTCGGGAACATTTCATCCATGCTCAATAAAAACACTTACTCAAAAATGCATTCCAAAAAGTGAGACCAAGACAGAAATAGGACACATGCGTGTGAGAGAGGACAATAACATGGGGCACAAGAAGTAGTCAACTGTGGAGCAGGATCTAGGAGAAACGAAGAAAGCTAACAGGAAATGAAAGAAAGATTCACTATACTTGACACCTGAAAGACTTTTGAGTTTCAAACATTTTGTAATATAGAATTATGTATTCAAATCATACTTGTTTAGACATAAATGATCTATAATCATGTAATTTTAGAATCAACCCATAGACAAAGCACAGAAAACAACAGAACATAATGTAAATGTCCAAAAACCCTCTCTACAGTGTAGAAATACTAACTGACCAAAATTGAGAGATGGAATAAGAACAGATAAGAAAGCTAAGTACCAGATTTTTCAACTGTGGCAAACTAATAAAAACGGTCCTGGGGAGGCTGGGTGGCTCAGTCAGTTAAAGTTAAATGTCCGACTTTGACTCAGGTCATGATCTAGTGATTCTTGAGTTCAAGCCCCACGTCAGGCTCTGTGCTGACAGCTCAGAGCCTGGAGCCTGCTTCAGATTCCCTGTCTCCTTCTCTCCCTGCTCCTCTCCCACCCACACTCCTGTCTCTCTCTAAGATAAACATTAAAAAATTAAAAAAAAAAAAAAACAGTCTTAAGTTGTTATCAAAAGGTCTTTAAATATGTTCTATAAAAATAAAGGTAACTACTCTAAAAACTAAAAATAGTAATACAAATTCAGAGGTATAGAGAAGCAGCAAGGTATTAGGAGGTATGTGGACACTATTATATTTTACAGTTGGGAAGTTCATACATACTGTCTATAGCTGGAATCAAGATAAGGGAAGAGAAGTGTATCAGTGATGATGGTAACCATCAGAAAAACTCAAAGCAAACCACTGACAGTGGTTATAGCTGAGAAGTATGATAACGAGGCACCAAGAGAACACATGGGCTCTTTCCATAATTTGGCTGTTGTTGATAATGCTGTTATAAACACCGGCGTGCACGAATCCCGTTGAATTAGTATTTTTGCATTCTTTGGGTAAATACTAGTAGTACAATTGCTGGACCATAGGGTAGTTTTATTTTCTACTTTTTGAGGAACCTCCACAGTGCTTTCCAGAGTGGCTCTACCAGTTTGCATTCCTACCAATAGTGCAATGGGGTTCCCTTTTCTCCATATTCTCACCAACATCTATTGTTTCTTGTGTTGTTGATTTTAGCCATTCTGACAGGTGTGAGATGATATCTCATTGTGGTTTTGACTTGTCTTTTCCTGATGATCAGTAATGTTGAGCATCTTTTCATGTATCTATTGGCCATCTTCTTTTGAAAAGTATCTATTCATGTCCATTTTTAAATTGGGTTGTTTTTGGGGTGTTGGGTTTTACACATTCTTTACATATTTTGGATTCTAACCCTTTATCAGATATGTCATTTGCAAATATCTTCTCCTATTCCATAAGTTGCCTATTGACTGATGAATGGATAAAGATGATGTGATACACACACACACACACACACACACACACACACTGGAATATTACTCAGCCATAAAAAAGAAATGAAATCTTGCCATTTGCCAACAACATGGATGGAACTAGAATTATGCTAAGCAAAATAAGTCAGTTAGAGAAAGACAAACACCATATGATTTCACTCATCTGTGGAATTCAAGAAACAAAACAAATGAGCAAAGGGGAAAAAGAGAGAGAGAGGCAAACCAAGAAACAGACTCTTAACCATAGAGAACAAACTGATGGTTACCAGAAGGGAGGTGAGTAGAGGATGGGTTAAATAGGTGATGGGGATTAGGGAGGGCACATGTCATGATGGGTACCCCGTGTTGTATGGAAGTGTTCAATCACTATATTGCACACCTGAAACTAATATTACACTGCATGTTAAGTGCAATTTAGATAAAAACTTTAAAAAAAAAGGAGGTACCAAAGGGAGACAAAGAGGCTTAAATAATTTTAAAACATTCTGTTCCTTCTGCATTTTTATATACCATGTAGTACATTATTTCTGTAATAAAAACAAATTTAATGAACAATATGAATACATTTATAGGGTAAATAAAGCAAGTTGGATTTGCTGAATTCCTTGAGTTTACCTGTACAAACATACCAAAATTCTATAAACACTATTGTTCATTTTATTCTTAAATTCTAAGCAATTTGGAGAACTAGTTAATGTAATTAACTATTGATCTTTAACATAAATAACGGTGGCATTTACCTGGAAAAATATATACATTGTTTCCTTGGCCTGGTGTAAATACTTGCCCGTCATTGAGTTTCACTGGCTCAAATGGACTGCCACTGGCAAACAAACACCTTCCCTGTTAAGAAATGAAACAACTTCAATTTGTAACTTCATTTGGACTAAAATATTGAGGTGAATCAAAACAATGAATCAAAACAAAGTTAAATCCTGTACTAAAACAGACCAATATATTCTTTGTGAACAGACATAATTTATTATATAACGTAATACTTCCACTAAAATTCTTATTAGATGGGTGCCTGGGTGGCTTAGCTGGTTAAGCGTCTGACTCTTGATTTTGGTTCAGGTCATGATCTCATAGTTCACGGGATTGCGCCCCGCATAGGGGTCTGTGATGACAGTGCAGAGGCTGCTTGGGATTGTCTTTCCCTTTCTCTCTGCCCCTCCTCCTGCTTACTCTCTCTCTCTCAAAATAAATAAATAAATATTTAAAAAATTCTTATTAGAATGATGTGTTGTTGTTTTTTTTAATGTTAGAGAGAGGCAGAGAGAGAAAGAGCACAAGTAGGGGAGAGGGCAGAGGGAGAGAGGGAATCTGAAGCAGGCTCGACATTGGGGTTTGATCCCACGACTCTGGGATCATGACCTGAGACAAAATCGAGAGTCAGACATTCAACTGACTGAGCCACCCAGGCGCCCCTAGAATGAGGTTTTATGCATCACACACATTCAAATAAAGTTGAAAACTGCCCATTAATAAACTAAAAATCCTGACACTTCTTTTTCCTTTTAAAATGTAGATGGGCCAACAAATGCTATCCTGAAAATAAAGATTGCTGTAAACACCTGTGAATGAAGTGGAACACATCAAAAATTAAATTGTGACCAATGACTGTCCATCTGCTGTTTTTTGGCTCTGTTCCAGGAGCTTTCTATGAGTTAACTCAGTATAGCCTGTGTAAGAAACCTTCTGGGATTATCATCTCCATCTCACTGATATATAAAAAAAAAAAATCTCATGGGGCGCCTGGGTGGCGCAGTCGGTTAAGCGTCTGACTTCAGCCAGGTCACGATCTCGCGGTCCGGGAGTTCGAGCCCCGCGTCAGGCTCTGGGCTGATGGCTCAGAGCCTGGAGCCTGTTTCCGATTCTGTGTCTCCCTCTCTCTCTGCCCCTCCCCCGTTCATGCTCTGTCTCTCTCTGTCCCAAAAATTAAAAAAAAAAAAATCTCATAAAACTATGGCTTAGATGTCCAAGTGCTTTGTAAAAAGTCACGCATCACAACTGCAGCAGTTACATTTGAATCCAGACTTTTTTTTTATAACTCTAAAGCCCATGGTCTTTCCATTCTGCTATAATGCCCGAATTATGCAGTTCACACAAAGGTGTATGGTATACCCACACTATTACCCCAGAAAAATATGGCATGTTGCCTTGTTGAAGAAAAATAAATCTCCAAATTTGTTGTGTCACTTCTAGCACTATGCTCAACAATGGTATACAATGTTACTAGCAAATTCAATATTTCTTTAAAAAATTTTTTTAAATGTTTGTTTATTTTTGAGGGGGGGGGGGGAGGAGAAGGGGCAGGGAGCGAAGGGAGACACAGAATCCCAAGCAGGCTCCAGGCTCTGAGCTGTCAGCACTCTGACGCAGGGCTCAAACCCACAAACCGTGAGATCGTGACCTGAGCCAACATCAGACGCTCAACTGACTGGGCCACCCAGGCACCCTGAATATTCACTATTTCTAAGAGAGAATCAGATGCCCATGAAATTGAAGAGCACCTGAAAGTAAATTTGTAAATCCTTTAAATATCATTTCCCTGTGCCAAATCTTACCTGCCCCACTCCTCCTTGGCAAAAAAACAAAACAAAACAAACAACGATAATCTATCTTGGAACACTTGAGGTATGACTAAAGTAGATCATGTTTAATCAGCTACTTGGATTAAAGAAAAGGAGATTTATAGAAAACTAAACTATCTCCACACAGTAGGATGGACAAACTGACATGGCACCTGAACACTGGGCAGAATAAGAAGCGTTTAGACAACGCTATTGTCTTCTTTTCTCTAGATCTAAAAATGTGTATTATACCATTATACCAATGGTGTAATGATTATTCTTTGAAGTACAGTGGATCCTCAGATTTAACACTCAAGAATTTGACCCTTTGGATCATATGAGCAGACACTTGTAACTGGGAATATAACCCTGTGGCAGTATTAAAGAATTCAAAAGAACTAAATCTTAAACAATTTGGATGAAAGTAAAAATTTGTTCCCAACAGCTGTCAGATGACTGAGAACAATGGCCCTCATAAAGACAAACACTGACAGTGAAGATGCGTTTGAAGAGGGTAAAAAGAATTGTTTTATGAAACGTGAGGGCAAGAAAGCAGAATTTATTTATGAGTTGACTATTTCTATAATACATCTTTGTACGTCTGTGTCACTAAATAATTGGAAAAATAATCAAATAGAAATTCTACAAAGGAAAAATACAATAAAATTAAGAATCTAACAACAGACTAGCATAGCTAAAAAAAAGAATATGCCAACTAGAAGATAAAGTCAAAGAAAATCACCAGATTAAAACACAGTATGCAGACAGGATGGTGTATATATAAACTAATGTAGTAGATATAAGAGATATGGTGAAAAGGTCTGACAATCACACAACTGGAGTCCCACAAGAAGAGAGAGAGAAGGCAGCCAAATCAGAGATACTGCCAAAAGAGACCACAAGAGAGGGCAGCATCAAGATAAAGAGCTCACAGTCCCAGGGGGAATAAATACAAAGAAAAACACACCCATGCCCAATGTGGTAAAACCCAAGACAAAATGGTATATCAAAAGGAAAACAAATCAGAAAACAAGAGAATAATATCTTCAAAGTGCTAAAATAAAGTCCCTGTCAACTTTTACTTCTATGCACAGTGAAAATATCCTTCAAAATGAAGGCAAAATAAAGCAATTATCAAGAAAATTCATCAGACCCACACTCAAGGAAAGTTCTTCTGGTAGAAGGAAAATGATCCAAGATAAAAGCACACACATACAGGAAGGACAAAATGGCAACAGAAGATATCAAAATGTATCGAAATGAATATTTTGTGTTTAGAATCATAATGTCTTTTGGGGTTTAAAACATAGAGAGAGTTAAAATGCACAACAATGGGGCCCCTGAATGGCTCAGTTCGTTAAGCATCTGACTCTTAATATCGGCCCAGGTTGTGTACTCGCCATTTTGAGATTGAGCCCTGCAACAGGCTCTGCATTCAGTTGGGCTCTGCACCTGCTTGGGATTCTCTTACTCCCTCTCTCTCAAAATAAATAAATAAACATTAAAAAAATAATAAATAAAACACACAAGACCCACAAGACATGAGGGTATTAAAATGGAAATATAAGGTAATTGCTTTCAAGAATTCAAACAAGCAATAATATCAGAATTTGACAATCCATGGGTGCATACTGGAATCTCTAGAGTAACCAAGAAAAGAATTACACAAGGATGTATAACTAACAGGCTACTAGAGGGAAAATAATAGACAAGACCAATTCATGCAGTTGTCATCAGTACCTCTGTAAGTGTATATGCTTCTTCAGCTGTGCATTCAGCCTTTGCTGTAGGATTGCTCAATGCAAATATTACAGGCCTTTCGTTGATATCAGCCATGGCTTTGATTACATCAGGGGTGAAAAGCCGGCCAGCTCCTGCAACTCCTATGACATATGGGGGGGGGGGGAGCAATTTCATTATAGTTAAAATAAAACAATTCTTATCAACATCATTTCTACAATAGGTTTAATACAACAAAAGCATAGGTAAACTCCCATCACAAAGACAGATTTTGTATAGCTGAGAAAATGCCATGGGAACAAAATCTTGAATCTGAAAACAACAATAAAATTCTAAAAGCTTTCACTGAAATACTCAGTTTGCCCCAAAAATAGTGAATTGCAGGAAATAAAAGAAGAGTATGAGAGCACCTCCAACTCTAATTAAGAAGATAAAACTTGCCACAACATGGAGGAACCCTGAGGACATTATGCTAAGTAAAATAAGCCAGTCACAAAAGGACAAACGCTGTAGGATTCCACTTACATGAGGTACCTAGAGTAGTCAAATTCATCAATACAAAAAGTAGAACGGTGATTGCCAGGGGCTGGGGGCAAGTATTTGTTGCCCCCAACATGGGTATGGAGTTTCAGTTTTGCAAGATGCAGAGTTCTGGAGCCTGGCTGCACAGCAACGTGAATGCACCTAACATATCCAACTGTACATTTAAAAATGGTTATGATGGCAAATTTTACATTATGTGTATTTTACCGCAGTTACAAATGAATTTTAAAAAGATAAAAACTTGCATCTCAAATGTTAAACTTTCAAACTCCGGTATTCATTACAAAATACCAGAAATTCAGAAGGGATACCAAATCATCTTGACTAAAGCAATCTATTTTCTTGATGGAATTTAATGGCCTTTTTATTAAGCTCCTATACTGTATTAGGCCTCTGGGATATAAAAATGAGTATAACGCAGCTTATAATTGAGAAAAAAAACAAGTAAAGAGAAAAATGAGAAAACCTGTAACAGGTGCCAACAAGTACGCAGTGTTACAGAGGAGGACCCGGCCCATGACAGGACGCTGGGGATGACCAAGCAGTGCCTCAGCTGAGTACTCTTCCAGTTCATCCAGTAAAGAGACTTCAATAGTCAAAATAATTAATTTTCAATTCTGTTTTATAAACTGATATGTAATAAAGAGAAATATTGATCTGGATACCAAAGTTTTAGCACCTGCTCTGTCACTCCTGGATATATGAAATATTCACAAATCTTGGGCAGGTTGTTTAACATCCCCGTGCTTGTTTTTCCTATGTACAATAGGAATTTATATTCAGTGTTTCTCCATGTGGAGGTGTGTGAACATATTTTTAGGAGTCCGTGAGTTCTAAAATAATTAAACCTTTAAAATTTTTGTTTTCTTGACCCTCCAGAGATAGACTGAATGGACAGATTCTTAGGTTTCCATATAGGGTTTTGAGAGAAGTTGGATGATCTTCAAGATGTCCTCTTGCTCTAAAACAATTATGAGTTCTAATCAATGAAGAAGCTAATGGCCATAGAAACTTACTGTTTGTGACTGGTTTACTATTTAAAATTCTACAGGGCCTCTTCAAGAAAGTGATAAAATTATTTAAAAATTATAGATTCAAATCTTACAGCTGTATACGAAATGAAATTGCTCCTCTTTTAAAAACTTTTACATTTTCGGGGCACCTGGGTGGTTCAGTCAGTTAAGCATCCGACTCTTGATCTTGGCTCAGGCCATGATCTCGCAGTTCATGAGTTTGAGCCCCAAGTCAGGCTCTGCACAGATGGCATGGAGCCTGCTTGGGATACTGTCAATCTCTCTCTCTCTCTGCCCCAACCCCTCGTGTTTTCTCTGTCTCTCTCTCAAAATAAATAAATAAACTTAAAAAAAAAAAAAGACTTTTACATTTTCTGCTATGAACTCAGTGCCATTCCGGCATAGTCAGATGTCAGCTATGCAATGCCTGACTTTCAAAACGTACCAAAGCTTTCTGCTTTGTTGCCAATGCAAAGCTTTGACTCTGCATAGGACTTTCTTGGTTCAGTCTGTCAGGTGACCTTGGTCTTTTTTCAGGTTTTGAGTGCAGCGGTCAGTCACACCAACTCTAAAAGCAAAGCATGATAAATTGCACAGCTTCGAGCACTTAAAAGTACAAGCAACATCTGTTAACTGAACTTTACACACTATGACCAAAAGGCTACCACAGAAAAAAAAACATTATATGCTGAAAGCTAAATAAAATGGGTCATTTCATTTTTAGTGCTCTTGCGTGATAGATATGCCCAGCAACATAGAGTTAAGTGATACAATGATTTGTCAACAACTCCACTTACCAATTATAGCTGAAGGCTTGAGTATGTTTACTGCATCTTCAAAAGTATCAGGTATATGCTCTGGGGCTGAGTGAGCAAAGGGCTCCTGATGACTCTCGATTTTAGCTTTTCGTCCCTGAATTTTTGGGAAAAATACAGTATTTTTTAGTAAATGCTTACCGAGAATTAATCGAAAAGACATCATTATGAGTCACATATTGTTTCTATAATACGAATGTCTTTTCATTCTCATTTACTTTCCTCTTCAACCTCTATCTTGCAATTCTATCTTTGCAGTGTCCACAAAACCCACATATAAAACATAAATCCAATCTTGTCATAATCAGAAACTTCCTAGTCCCTCTCAAAAACTCATTTACTTTGTTAAGTGCTTCTAAATCCAATATGGCACAAAGGCTTATAATACCCTATCCGGGTTAGGCACATTTTGGAATTCAGAATTTTTCACATTTTAGAAACGTATTATGGTAATATAGCAAATATTACAAATCTTCCCACCGTGGACACCCCAAAGTGAACAACACTTATGAACAGTACTACCAATACCCTCTCTGGTTTTGCTACCAGGTAAGTTCAAGTCTGTCAGATCTGTTACCAATTTCAGAAAAAACTTTGGGGTTTCAGAGCTTTTAGGAATCTAGACATCATGGACTAGTTGTGCTAACAAGAGTTCTGAAGCAAGAGGAACAGGGAATTCTGGCTCAGGACGGCTGAATTAAGAACATGCTTTCCTCCACGAATCCCAGGCCAAAAACTAGAACAATGAAATCCTTAGCAGTATTACAAGGCCACCAGAGGTACCACTGACAAACCAGAACATTGAAGAATTTCTCAGTATCGAAAGCAGGCAAAAACACATAGAACGCAAAAACCAACCAGGCTGAGAAATCCATACCCTTATTTTGGCAAAAGAGAAGACCCTGCCGCAGAGGTGAAACTTTGCATCAGAATTCCAGAATAGCCCCAGAGAAGAACTAGCAAGGTTTGGGAAAAGCAACACACCGCCATCGGTTGGCTGGGAAGTTAATTAAAGGACTGACATCTAGCCTCAACAGATCCAGGTTTTCAGAACAGTGGCTTCCTGTGCTCACTCTCCACTATGGGGGTTCAACGGGAAACTCCCAAAGTCTCAATAAGGAGGGCAGTGTTTGGGCCACCAAGAGAGACTGGACACCTATGTGTTTTATACATAGGTCAAGCTATCCACACACCCTCAAAGAAAAATAGACTTTGAACTTGTGGATATAGAGGGATTCTCACTGGTGCTAACCAATACCATATTCATTGTTGAGCTGACTTGTTTATTAAAAAGAATCACAAAACATCTGTGAAAACCAACACCACAAAAAGAAGCATCAAACTGGGTACCAGTAAAAATATGTATTCTGCCAACAGCTTTCTAAAAACACAAGGTTTATAATCCTTGTATTTGATATATAAGCAAATACGGTGGCTATAGCTCACTTGGGAGGCAGCACAGTCCAATGGTTAAGAGCACAGACCTCACAGGCTGCTCGGATGCGACTCTTACACACAACTTAAATTGATGACCTTGGAAAAGTCACCTGCCCTTTCAAACCGCAGTTTCCTCATCTGTAAAATTTCACAGAATTTTTGAGAAGATTAAATGACATAATACCTGTAGAGTCTTACCACAACGTCTGCTGCATTTTAAACTACTATTTAAAATTATGTATAATTTAAGCACTCAAAAACTTTTCATTCATACACTTCTTCATTTTATTTTTTGTACGAATAGTTGTGAGCACTAATTAGGAAGGCAAGATTTCAGAACTGAAACAAAGCACACGGAAATAAACTTGCTCCAAAGATATGTATTTCAAGTAACTGAGGTATGTCATTATATATAACAAAAATACAATAGCATTGTGTACTGGACAGGTTCAACTATGAAACAGTTTACCTACATTATAATGTGTTACACAGTATAAGATACAAGGCATTTCTTAAGCTACTAAAAATGGCAATCAATGCTAGGAAGGCAGGCAGGTCCAAAGGATACTAAATTAATCTGGCATAGAAGCTTCTTATTATCCATGAACTGGCTTCAAGAAAATGTCCGTGGACATCTGTTAGACTGCTACAAGGGATTATGATCTCCAAATGGTTAAAGAATTTCTGCTCAAATGTCAGATGTCCTGCTAACAATTTAATTAGAAACTTCTGAGTTCCCATATAAAGCCTAGTTAGAAAGGTCAAGTACAATCTTATTTGTATGGCTACTTGCTTTCTTAAGACTCAGAGAACAAAGCAAGAAAGAAAATGTCCGTGCCAACATGGAGATTATGATTTAAATAAAAAGCAAGAGTCTTTATAAAAGACAAAAAGTAGACTGGAGGCACCTGGGTGGCTCAGTCAAACATCCAAATCTTGATTTCAGCTTAGGTCACAATCTCACAGTTCCTGGGATCAAGCCCCACGTTGGGCTCCATGCTGACAGCGTAGAGCCTGCTTGGGATTCTCTCCCTCTCTCTCTCTCTCTGTACTCCCCCCACTCACGAGCATGCACTCTCTTTCCCTCTCTCAAAATAAATAAACTTAAAAACAAAAAAACATGGGAGGATTTCTGTTGAGAATATACTGGAAGGTCCCCAATTGGTACAATCTGGACAGTTCAGTGCAATACAGTATTTTAAGAATTGGTAATATTTTAAAAATCAAACTAAAAACACCATTGTTAACAACATTCTTTTGCTTCTCCAAGATTTAATTACCTTACCTTAAATAATAAACCAAACTTGTCAACCATCCAAATTTTCTTTTGTGCCTCTTCTTCTGAGAGGCCATTTTCTACCATGGCCATAACGATGAGATTTGCAATCCCAAGAGCAGCCTGTCCAACAAAATATAAATTTTAAAATTAAAGATGAAGGTAAGGCACAATGCTTGAGTTACTTTATATATGAGGATTATGTGTTATGAGGAATATTTGGTTTACTCTTCTCTAATAAACCACACAAAAGTTGATTTGCTATAATATTCTCTCTAATCATATTTTAAATGATCTACTTTATAATAGAGATCTTCAATTCACACAAGATCTCAACAAAATGAAAAGTTCATTATGTCCCATTTGCCAATTCTAAAGGACGATGTTGATTTTAAACTCTAAAAGCTTACAAAAACTTACCTCTCCTGCTCCAAGAAATAAGATTTTGTGTTCTGAGAACGACTTCCCAATAACTTTTTGTGCTGCGAGAAGACCTGCTAAAGCTACTGCAGCCGTCCCTGTGCGGAAAAGAAAGATTTCTTAGAATAAAAAAGGGGCATGTTAAAAACCTTTAAAGAAAGTAGGGGGTCAAAAACCTAAGGTTTTCTTTTTGCTTTACCTTGAATATCATCATTGAAGGTGCAGTACTTTTCTCGATATTTTCTCAAGAATCTGAATGCATTATGATTTCCAAAGTCTTCAAACTGAATAAGTGTGTTCTGTCCATATCTAAAAACAGCGAAACCCATAATGGCTGTGTTGAAAATACCACCATTAGATAGCTTTTCTAATAGTCTTTATCATCCCATTTAAAAATAATGTATCCCTTAAATGGGCACCTGGCAATTTTCAGAGAGCCTCTGAAAAACTGGAGTCGAAATGTAGAAATCTACTACTCATTCAGAAAAATTTATGAGGTGGACCTATGGGATAGTCACTGGCATAAACTATATCCACGTGTTACCAAGCACATACAAGCATGAAATAACTTCCTAAAAAGAAAGGGATTTTACCTCTGAGTCTCATAAAGTATCTATTTGACATGTATATTCTCACTGTACTAGCAGTTAAACAGCAACACAGGAGAGTATATTAAGGAAGAGTTTATATTAAATAAGAAATTAAAAAATAATTTCTGTACGAGTTCACTGGCATTCAAAAAAAAAGACATCAATCATCTTGGTGAGATGGGGTAAGGGAAGGCTTGAAGAGGCGAGGAGACTTCATTTGGGCCCTGAAAGAACAAAAAGTAAAGAAGCAGGAAGAAAAACAAGGTGTGTTTTGGTGAACCTGAATTGTCAACAATCAGGCTATATATTTCAGGGTTTATATGAAAGAATAAGACGTTGGTTAAGGTAGGCGGGGCCAGATAAGGGAGAATCCTAAATGCACAATCAGAGAATGGGACTTTGTTGTGGATCCAAGGTAAAATCACTGAAGGCTGCAGGGAAGGGAAGACCCCTGTTAGGAAGGACAGACCTGCCAGTGACGTGTAACACACACTGGTGTGTGGAGAAGCAGGAAGCAGCCAGGAGGCTACTATGGTATAAGGACAAGAGAATCTGAAGGAAAAACCATGGGAAGTTAAAGGGACAATTTTAAGACATTAGAATGAGCAAAAAGAACTTGATAAGGGCCACCTGGGAAGTCAGGGAAACGCCATTAAAATGCCAAAGCAATCTGGATGACTACGAAGGTACTAGTTATTGTCCAAGGTAGCGAAGTGAGGAGACAGGGAGGAGGTGGCAATTTGCGGGAAGATGAAACGTTTAGTTTTAGATATGTCAACTTTGACTAGGGAAAGGCATTAATTTTTAGTATCTTCTATGTACTAGCAATTTAAAAGGTAGGGCAGGGCTAGTATCATAAAGAGTTTGAACTTTACCCCAAACAACAGGAAACTACTGAGAGATTTCAAGCAAAAGAATGACATGATCAAGTGCACATTTTTAAAAGATTAGCAGAGGGAGCCTGGGTGGCTCAGTCAAGCAGCCGACTTCGGCTCAGTTTATGATCTCCAGGCTGGTGGGTTCGAGTCCCACGTTGGGCCCTATGCTGACAGCTCGGAGCCTGGAGCCTGCTTCAGATTCTGTGTCTCCCTCTCTCTCTGCCCCTCCCCTCCTTGTACTCTGTCTTTCTCTCTCTCAAAAATAAAAAAAAAAAAAAAAAATTAAAAAAAAAAATAATAAAAGAGTAGCAGAGAGATAAGGTGGAGATGAAATGGAGAGGAGAGAAACTGAAGGAAGGTTTAGAAGCCCCCCGGAGAGAGATGAGGATGTGCAGAAAGGCTGTGGCAATGGAAAAGAGGAGACGTATCTCTGAGGCATTTACGTTGTAGTACCACCTGGGTCTGAGGACTGAGACACTATAGAGGGCTGATGGAGAAGGAGGGAAGAGTCAAAGATAAGAGCAAAAGCAAAGTTTTGGCCAGAGGGTAAATGTTGCTGCCATTAATAGAAGCTGGCTAAAGAGAAAACAGGCAGCTTGCTAAGGGAAGGAGTGGTTGTGGACACAAATATGAAGTAGCAACAAAACGTCTCGATGGGATGTTAGAAATGCAGGCCTCAGAGAGAGGTGGGACTAGAGGTAAGTTCAGGAGTCACATGCCTGAAGGTCATGGCTTACATGACTCAAAGAGAAAAGAACTATGAATGTATCCCCACTTAATAGAAGAGAGCAAGAAGAACCAGTACAGATGACAAAAGACAGGAAGGTGGGAGAAAGACCAAGTTAGGAAAGCCTTTCAGTAATCGAGAGAAGAGAGAATTTCAAAGATGAAGGAATAGAAAACCTGGTCAGATGCTGCAGAGGTGGAGAGACAGGAGGAGCAATGGTCAGCAAATTTATTATTCTTTTTTCAATGTTTATTTATTTGAGAGGGAAAGAGAGGGAGAGAGAGAGCGCAAGTAGGGGAGGGGCAGAGAGAGAGGCCGACAGAAGATCTGACAGCCGAGAACCAGATGCTGGGCCCGAACTCATGAACCATGAGATCATGACTTGAGCTGAAGTCAAGTGCTTAACGGACTGAGCCACCCAGGAGCCCCAATTATCAGCAAATTATTTTTAAAATTTTTTTAACGTTTATTTATTTTTGAGAGACAGAGAGAATGAGCAGGGTTGGGGCAGAGAGAGAGGGAGACACAGAATCCGAAGCAGGCTCCAGGTTCTGAGTTGTCAGCACAGAGCCCGACCCAGGGCTCAAACTCGTCAACCACGAGGATCATGACCTGAGCTGAAGTCTGATGCTCAACTGGCTGAGCCACCCGCACCCCAGATCAGCAAGTTTAAAACCCAAAAGCTGCACAAGAGTCCCAGGAACGGTGCAAGTGAGCCCGGAGGCCAAGGGGTGGGAGAACTGGACAGGAGGGTCTGGCAGAAGCAGGGAATACAGACTTCCTACAGCAGCTCCAATAACTCAGGAAAGCAAGGCAGAGTATAAAGGGTGTCACCAGCATCAGAATCTAAGCAGGCAGAACAGAACCCAAATTCTCAAATATTTAATCTCCTTGTACCCATCTTCAAAAGAGGTAAAGGAAAAGAAAACTGTGGTTCCTTTCTTTTATTAATTATTCTTCCATTTACTCAACCTTTTAAAAAATACCTGTCAGTAATGGCTTTCATAAACTCATCAATCAGGTCATCATAGCGCTGTGATCGATCTCTTTTCTGATATAAGCCCATGTAAAACGGATCTTTTAAGAGTGCCTACAAAATAGACCAAATGTAAAAATAAAATCATTTTGTTACGTCACCAGTTTAAACATACTCTATAAAGCAAAAATTGCAAAATAAAAAAATTACTATCGTAATTTTTAAAAATTCATTACATTTTCTTCAAGAATCTCTTAATAGGCTTAATTTACTGTTATCTGTATAAATATCAAAAGCACAGTTCAAGAGAGACTAGCTTTAATCACAACATTTTCCCATCTTCTATTATCTTCAAAAGAAGAATATAATAAAACTTTTGTTTTTTAAATATGAGAGAAAGATCAAAGGGGAAAAATTGTTTTACTCACTGGATTATCAGTTCCTACATCAATACACACAGGCAGGCATCTATCAGGCCGTATTCCAGCACAAGCTGTATACAAACAGAGTTTTCCTACTGGGATCCCCATTCCATACACACCCAGATCTCCAAGACCCAGAATTCTCTCTCCATCAGTCACCACAACGGCCTTAATTACAAAAAATACATATAAATTAAAAGTTGCCAAAAATGGGGTACTAAAGCATTTGAAAAAAAGAGTCTCTTCATATATGTTCACTCTTTTAAAAACAAAATTGTTTCTTAACTTCCAACATAAACCAACCAAGCATACTTAAAACTGTAGGACTTTAGAATCTAGGTATAAAAATGAGAATGAACTAGGTCTGATTTTCCTCTGTCTTTGGTTTAGGAACAGAATGCTTCTGACTGGAGAGTCAACTTATACATCTTCACAAAGACTAAACCAGGGACAGGCAGGCAAACTTCGGACAGAGATTAACCAGAAGAGAAAATCAAGTTTAGAAATGAATATGCTACTCCCACATAATAATGTAGGCCAAACAAGAAAAACCTTAGCAACAGTGTGTGGGGGCTTGAGGGGAGATCTAGAATACAAAATATACCTACCAAGTTTTAAGATGATACTGTGAGTAATTATCTGACCAAATTTTTTCTAGATTACTACAACTAATAATTATTCATTAAAGATTATTTTGGTGAGGAAGACATGTTATAAAGGCAAGTAAGGTTACTGCCTATAATAAGCACTAAAGCCTACCAAAAGATCTTAATAAGTCATCAGATTTTGTTCTATGAAAGACAGCCAGACTGATGAAAATTTATATCTATTACAATTGAAACTCAAAGAGTTTTATATTTGCTACGGATCTAAATCTACCTGGGATTTAGAAGAAAAAAGGCGTAATAAATCCTCTCACCACCCACCAAAATGAAAGTTTTTTATGGCATTTAATGTATTTTCTCTACCGGCAATAACATTAATTGAAACAGAAAAGGAATAAAAAGAAGGCAAGAAACACCAGTGGTAGTGACAGGTTCACAGTGTGAACTAGTTTCAATTTCTTTCCCAGGGTAAACTCCGTACTGGTCACCCATTTTGTAAGTATTACTATCCAGATCTCCTCAGGGCACTAAATCTGCATGTATGTAAATGCAAAGTAAATCAGAGCAACAATGAAAACTGTTCTTGGAAATTCAGATAACTTACAAAGAAAGAAAATACATTGTGAAGAGGAAGGTTGTGCTATTAGTACCTTAACATGATTTTCTGGCCAGTTATCCACAATTGATCTAACATGACCTCTGTCTGAGATTGAAATAAATAATCCCCTGCAACAGAACAAAAACACCTTTGCATTTCACAACAGTTTTTTGCTTTCTACTAAGTTTTTGTTCATAATTGGAATACTTAGATATTGTAATAAAACATCAAGACACAGTATCATTTCCAAGCAGATTTTGCTAAATCACACTGGATTATTTTCAAACATTTTCAACTATTTCAAACTATAATTGCATTGCTCACACAGTAGCTGCAACAAAGATGATTATTACACCATGTGATGGTGTTACCCAAGAAGGAATGTTTCCACATCTCATGTTCAAATAAACTCCAGACACCTCCAGTAAAAGGCAGTACAAAAATAAACCACTAATGCAGGAGAGCATAATAAAGCTACATACACTCTGATTCAAACTCACTAAAACTGAAAATTTGAAATATGAAGCAGCAGGAAGGGAGAGAAGAAAACTACAGTAAATAACTTCACACAAAAGAGGATGTCCTTGAAGCATTAGGAAAAAGTGAAAAGTTATTTTAAACACACAGCGTATTGTTATCCAATTGAGATAAATAATCCAGATTTTTAAAAAGGAAGAGAGGTAGGGAGAAGGGGATGGGGGAGAAACATAGGTTGTAGAAAATGAGTCTGGCAGATGTGAGGGTCAACAGGTCCCCAGTGCCTTCAAACTGGTTCTTACACTTAACTTTCTCATTGGGACCTATCTCAGCTTTGGCATTACTATCCCATCTCAAATCAGTTTAAACAGTTTCTCAACTACAGCTGCTTAACAGAGTTGTCTGATCAACTTTTTAAAAAAATGCCAGGGGTCCCACCTCCAGAGATCCTGATTTAACTGGCCTGGAGTTTAGGTCAATTAAACAACCAAGATTTACTGATGATCTTCAATGCAAAAACAAAAAACAAAAAAACACCCCTGCAGCACTATACTGCATAATGGACACACAGTACCTGTCCTCACCCAAAAACCATGCTCTTTATTCTTTATGCTTCGAGTCCGTTCTGAGTGCTGGGTACACATCAGAACCACAGCAAGAGCTTTTATGAAATACCTACACAGAGGCCCAACTCCAGATTGAATGAATCAGAATCTCTAGGGTGGGGCCTAGGCATCAGTATTTTTTAACTTTATCTTAATCCTTTCATCTGGATTGAGAAACACTATTCTAAATGAAAAAGAAATGTAAAAGAGCTGAACAGCTGGGTTAACATAAGAAATGCTTAAGACTTGGGGCGCCTGGATGGCTCAGTGAGTTAAGCGTCTGACTTCGGCTCGGGTCACGATCTCACGGTTTGTGAGTTTGAGCCCCACGTCAGGCTCTGTGCTGACGGCTCAGAGCCTGGAGCCTGCTTCGGATTCTGTGTCTCCCTCTCTCTCTATCCCTCCCTGACTAGTGCTCTGTCTCTCTCGGTCTCTCAAAAATAATAAATGTAAAAAGAAAAAGAAAAAAAGAAATGCTTAAGACTCATTAACTGATGGCAGCACATAGGACAGAACAAGACAATGTTTGTTCTCCAAGGGTCTTCCAGGGAATACCTGCAGCACCATCACCAACCACGGTCATTAAAATCCAGACCTCCAGACCTTTCTCTTTGTCAGCAGAATCTTGGGAACGGGAAGGAGAGGAAGGTTGGCATGGGTCAACATTTTAAGTCCCACAGGTATTCTGTATGCACATTAAGGTCTAAACACCACTAGGCTAGATGGGGGGAGAGTGAAGGTCAATGCTATCCTGCACTGTCTGAATTTGTACATTTGTATCAACGTGTAAGCAGAACATGGGAAAGGTGTGAGGACTGAAGAAAAGGACAGGTTAGAGGAACATGACAAGAAAACACAAATTAATTAAAAATTTGTAAAGAATTGTCCCATCAGTTCCTCATCTGACTTTCTCAGCTGCTCTCTGAGAGGTGCTAGGATCCCTATTTCATATGAAAACAGATTCAGAAGGAGAAAGTGACTTATTGAAAGACTTAAGTAGATGCCCATTCCAGTACTCTTTCTACTTAAAATAGCTGAGGTGCCAGAACTATTTGAAATTAAAATTCGTACAAATTCTAAAAGAAAAAACAAACAACACAAATTAAAAAAAAAAAAAAAGAGAGAGAGAGAGAAAGAATCTCTTAATTTGGGCAGATCATCAAAATGATATTCATGATAATTCTGGAGAATCTGCCACGAAAATTAAGATTACATCCCCCCTTTTTTGGTACAGAAATGCACAGATCTAACAACCAAAATAAGTTACAGAAGGTTAGGAATGAATGTTGCTATTTCTACAAAAACAAAAGATATCAACATGCTGGATTTTTATTAATCCCTTTTTGTCCAAATTAAGCTTTTGTGAGGTGGGAAGGTGGTTGACCTAAGACTGTATATATAAAAGAGAAATGTAAGAGGGCCTAGGGGGTGCAATTTTCCCTATACAATAATCTTTGCAAATATAGTTTTAAAAATAAGTCTTACTTAGGTCTTCTAAAGATGTGTCCATATTGGGAGCAGGCAAGACCGACTGTTGGTGTGTATACAATTGGCATCAGACTTTCGATATCATCCTGCAGAATTCTATAAAACAATTTTTCATTTCTTTCCTGTATTCCCATTATGTAGATGTATCTGAAATTAAGCACAGTAAATAAGGTCTACATCAGACAGCATTTATACTTAGAGTTCTGGCCTTTGAAAGTCATATGCAAACATCAAAAACTGAGGACTCCCTTCCCTGCCAGAAAACAAAACCCTGAATTATCACTGTTTAACACCCAGGACAAAGATTAACAAAAGTAAAAATGCACTTAAATTATAGATGCTGATGATGACAAAGGAGAAGAGGAGGAGGAGAACAGCAGAAACAACAGCTAACATTTACTGAACCCTTACTGAGAGTCAGGAACTAGAAATGCAAAGACTATCCTTATGGAACTAATGTTCAAAGTGACTAACATGTAAATACGGAAGCAAAATAAAGTGGCATTCATTCGAATATTTACTAAATACTATGTGCCAGGCACTATTTTGGACTCTCAGGATGTAAGAAGTGACCTCTGTCCTTGTGGAGTTATAATCCAATAGGCTTAATGGCATTATCAGGTCTATATAAAGCATAGAGGTAGCATAAAGGCAATGCTCAACTCACATACACATATAAACAATGGCTTTTCAAGAATAAAGTTTAGAAAACTGGAAAATGTTGGCCTGAAAAAAAAAAAAAAAAAAAAAAAAAAAAAAAAAACCAGCGATGGGGCATCTCGCTCAGTCAGAAGAGCATGAAACTCTTGATCTTGGGGTCATGAATTTGAGCCCCATGTTGGGTGTAGAGATTACTATAAAAAATAAACTTAAAAATATTAAGTCGTAGATGCTTTTATTATTAAAAAAAAAAAAAAACAGTGGTCACCCTGAATTAAATATGTGTAAAACAGACGCATTACTTTTTACTCAAACTTGTTCCTCTTCCTGTTATCACCTGACCAAATGGGAATCCAAGATCCCATTCTTGATTTCTCCTCTCTCACTCTACCTTACCCTAGTCTAATAAAGCAACAGCCCTACAGAGTCCACCTACTAAATAATTTTCAAATATATCTATTTCCCCCTCTCCACCCTCACCCCATCCAAGCTAGCATCATTTCTCACCTGGGCTACCTCAAGAACTTTCTTAACTGGTCTGTATACACACGGTTTTGCTCCCCTGCTCCAATCTAGTCTTCTCTTTAAAAAAATAACTCTTATTATTTGTATTCTCTTTGAATGCTTTCCAAACACCCATTATATAGGCTAATGCTTCTAAACTAGTTAGCAACACCTGCGCCTACTTTCCAGCCACATGTTCATACTGAACTTACTTCAGTTTCTCAAATACACCCATGTCTTACCTTGGTGTTGCTACATACAACACAACTTCTGAACACCCCCTATGCATGCATAGTCCCTACTTACTCTCCCCGAATGCAGCTCAGGTGGCACTCTCTCCCTTGGTGCCCGTTCCCCTCCCCCACCACACAGACACAGATTTTCCTCTTTTCAGATCCCTTAATACCCTACTCCCTCCTCTGCATCTCTCACTCTACTTCCTGACTCTGTCTTCCCTCCAGCCTGGATGGTATCATGAGTTAGGGACTATTGCTTTATATACCTCTGTATCTCCAGTAACTAGCAAAGTAAGTGGAATATAACTGGTGTGCAAATGTTTGGTGAATAATCAGGGAGAAGTGATTCTATTTAGAAGAGGAATAGTATTTTCTATGCAACTACCACAGGCAGAAATAATAACATTAGGTAGAAGTTAAAGAGAAGGAGATTGCTCCTCAGTCCAGGGGAGAAAACAGATAAGACTGAGTAGCTCTGTGAAACAGACAGCAGAGACCTATCAGGCACTTGTGATTCACTTTCACCTCCATCTAAGTTTGGTCCCTCCTCTGAGTGCTCCATGCTGGATCTTGTCCTCACCTAGGACCACTACAGCTCAGAAATTCTGATTACCACTAAGGCAACCCTCTCCCCTGTGGCTAGCTATCCATTGCCCCCACTTCCCAGTTCTTTGAGAGATCTCTGGCTCCTGGATCCCTCTGTTTTCTCCCGCTCTATTAGCTCCTCCCTGGCTCCTCTTCTTTCCCCACTCTGGATCCCATGATCAAGCCTCTGACTCTGAACAAATCTTCACCATTTTGGAACACCCCTGTACCTTTATCACTGCACTCCCCTTCCACAGTGTCTGTCTTTTCCAGCCATGGACTCCCTGAAGGAAAGGGTGGAATTTCTCATTCCTGTAGTTCTAGAGCTTAAAACAATGCCTGACACATAACAGCCCTGAATGAATACTAGCTGAATAAATTAATGTAGCATCTTTGCCAGCCCAGCAAACCCCAAACCTGAATTAAGTTACATTTCACCTTTTCCATGTAAAAATAACATTGCTGGGCAGAATGACATCAATACAAACAAGATTAAGCCACTAAGCCTTCAGGGCTTTCCCATCCCTTTAATCTGTCCTTGTTCAGCTACACTCTTTGGCTAAATGGCTATTCTAAACATTTATCACTTTCCTCACCAATTCTATTCAACCTTGGCCCTTTTAAATCTTAGCCACAACCTCCATATTTGACATCATAGAGAAAATCAAGGTCAACAAGGCAGGATGAGATCTCACAACCTCTGCCCTACCACCTGCATAGCTTATCCGTATTGTACCTGTATTTATCTTTGCTCTTGCCCCAGAAAATGACCTGTTCTTTTTTCTTGTCCAAGGCCAGCCTCTACCTCTGCCCTTGACCCTACACCCTCTACCTCTGCACTCAACCCACTGTTCTCTTTGTACTTGACCCTATTCCCTCTACCTCTGTACTTTTCTTGTGCAAGGTCAGCCTCCACCTCTGTCCTCGACCTTATGCCTTCTACCTCTGCACTCAGTCCCATGCTCTCCATCTTTGCACTTGACTCTATGCCCCTTTCAGTTCTCTGGGATCTTGTTCTATCAATTACCCTTTCTTCTGGGCTCACTCCTCACAGCGTGAGCACCTTCAACTTCCTTCTAGCTTGAAATATACCTCCTTAACCCCAAGTCCTGCTTTACTTACTGGTGAGAAACCACTCTCACCAGTCATCAAACAATAATCTCCTGTACTTAACAAACCCAGAAGATATTTTTAATTCTGCATTCAGACTGATCCCTCTACCCATAATATTTTGCCCTTCTTTCTCATTTTGCCTGCCACGTGTAATATATTGTTTAAAACACAGCTCAGGAATCACTTCCTCCAGAAAACTTTAATGGATTCCCCAAATCCGGCTAGGAGTCCCTATTTTGTGCTTTCAGAATGTTCTCTGCATGTACCTTTTTCTCACTGTCCTGCACACAGTAGTATAGAGTACAATGACCGTCACAGTATAATCTCTATTGATGAGCTCCTAGAAGGCAGGGCTGTGTATTACTGGGGTGACAATACATTCTAGTTTTCCTGGGACAGTTTCAGTTACTCCTCTGGATTGGATGATATATTATATGGTCACCTACCTTTTACCTACTTTACACTCTCAGTGGCCAGTACAGTGGCAAACACAAAGTAGATGATTAATAAAAGTTGTTGGATAGAAAGGATACAAGTCAGATAATAGCTTTTGTTTCTAACATTCCATTCAAGTCTAAAATGCTCTGTGATTTTAAGCTTAAAAATAGATTTCTGCTAAATTTTACAATAGCAAACACAGTCAGTGAAATAAAGGAAACATAATCATTATAAAAATAATAGTTAACTGACTAAAATGCAAACTTCATCTTAAGACTACATATATTCCATATGCAATAATAACCATAATGCTCCCAATTTTTCTGATCAGGACATCAATAAAAAAGCCAAACATCTGAGGCACCTAGGTGGCTCAGTCAGTTAAGCATCCGACTTTGGCTCAGGTCATGATCTCACAGTTTGTGGGTTTGAGCCCCGCATCAGGCTCAGCACTGATGGTGTGGAACCTGCTTGGGATTCTCACTCTCTCCTGGCTTTCTGCCCCTCCCCCGCTTGTGCTTTCTCTCATAATAAAATAAACTTAAAACAATTATCTCCTTTAAAAAAAAAAAAATGAAACATCTAATCAACTCTTACTTTTCCAAAGGACTATTCAATTTTTTCACGTTTTTATGAAATCGTAAAGCTTGAATATCTTGTGTCTCTATCTTGGGAGGTAGAAGTCCTTGGAGACCAAGCATTTGTCGTTCTTGTAATGTAAACGCCATTCCCTACAAAGGAGAAAAGGATTAAAAATTATTGCTTACTGAGGTTGCAATGGTGCTATCTATCCAACAAAATGTAATTTCAATGTAAATTTTTAAAAAATAAGTAAGATACCATTTTGCCCAGACTGTCATAAGTATTTAAGATTGATCATCTCTAGTATCAGTGAGGGTGTGGTAAAAGAGTTATTCTCACATACCATTGCTAGAAATGTAAACAGGTTTAAGCTTTTTAGAAGACAACTTAAAAACATTCTTAAATTTTAATGCACATACTCTACAAGAGAGCAATTCTACTTCTAGACAGCCATCGTAGAGAAATAGTCATACATAAAGAGTCATATAAAAAAGATTAGTTATAGTACTGTTTCTAGTTCTCTTGACTATTACAAACTAACTAAAAGCCCATGAATTATGGAACAGTTAAGGAACCTATGGTATTTCCTGGTATGGAAAACACAGATCTCCAATTATGTAGTACAAGTATCTCCCAGACCCATAGTTAAGAAAAAAAAAAAGCAAGTTTCAAATCAAACACATTTACTGTTAACTGTTATATTCAGAAACCCCCCATAAAATAAATCATATACACAAATCCATACATACATTAGAAATGAAATTAACAGAATACAGCTTAAAAAAACACAAACCAAACTGATAACAGAAGCTCCTTCCACTAGAAAGCAGTGAGGCTGAGTTGACAAAGAGCAAGCAGGGAATGATACTTAGGAAAAAATTAACCTATGTCATATGAAAATCTTTTTCAATTTCTGATATCCAGCTGTGTGTTAACTTCTTTTTATCAAAGTGATGTCTGTAAAAACGCCAGAGTAAGGACTTCCAAAAATCTTTTCCTCCATAAAAGCAACAAGAATACTGGCCAAATGACCAGAATAAACTTTTTCAGAATTTTGGAAACTAACCAAAGGCCTCAGCAATCCGGGAACATTTTATTCAAGAGAAGCAGCTGAATTTTCATAAGAAAAGCAGGATTCATGACATTTTTATTTGCCTTATTCCTATGTTTCCCTCCCCAGCTCCACAGAAGCCTAGAAAACAGCAATCACTATGAAATAATCGCTTTGAAAAATAGAGTCTAGCGGTTGGAGATTTTTCTACAGCCCCATCCCCAGGAAAGCTGCCATTATTTCAGTGGAAGACCCCACTTGCAAATCTGTCTTTATTTAACCTTATATGGAGCTCACCCAGTGTGAATAGCTTTTTCTCCAGAAGAGTGTCCTGAAAACAATCTGAGGCAATTATTTAACATGGCGGCTGCCTAAGGCAGTAGATAACAGCTGAGGAAACAACAGGCTAACCAAAAAACTGAAAAGGAGAAGCTGAAGAACAAAATGTCCATGGGGTGGGAGTGGGGGCAGCGGTTGAAAAGCTTGACATATTCCTAAGAATCTAGAAGGTCATCATGCACAAACTGTAGGCAAGTCCAGGAAGGATCTGAGAAGGCCCTTAGCTCCCATCTCTGGCTAACCTGGAGGCTCCATGTAAGCAGGAAATAAAGGCTAATGTGTAGTTGTAACCTGCCTGAACACTAAAGACACACTCCAACATGTACACTGAACCCTTAGGTATTTAAGTCTCTGTCTAATCATGAGTTGACTACTTAGCTAATGATGCAGACTTTAGCGGGCCTAACAAACAAGAATAAGGACTTTAAAGAAGTAGTTCAATTATATTTCACACGCAGAAAAAAAATTAGTTCAGAAATGTCACTAAATAGACAACAGCAACATAACAAGCCCTGGGAGGAATATCTGGTTTCCAGAGCAGCCACATTCTTTAATATGTCCAGTTTTCAACAAAAATTATAAGGCATACACAAAGACAAAGTCTGGCTCATACACAGGAAAAAGGGTACCTAATAGAAACTGTCCCTGAGGAAGCTCAAACATTGTACTAATTAAACAAAGACTCTAGTTATTTTGAATATATTCAAAGAACTAAGGGACACCACATCTAAAGAAGTAAAGGGAAGTAGGAGAATGATACCTCACTAACTACAGAATATCACTGAAAAAATAGAAACTATAAAAAAGAACCAAACATAGAAGTTCTGGAATTGGAAGTACAGTAACTAAAATAAAGTTCAGAGGGGTTAAGCAGATTTGAGCAGGTGGAAGAAAGAATCAGTCAACTTAAAGATAAGTCAATTGAGATTCTCCAGTTGAGAAACAGAAAGAAAAATCAATGAGTAAATATGAATAGAGCTTCAGAGACTGGTGGGACACTATTAAGTGTGCCAACATATGCATAACAGGAGTCCCAGAAGGCAAGGAAAGAAAAGGACAAAAGGATATTTGAAGAAATAATGGCCAAAAGCTTCTCAAATTTGATGAGAAACACGAACCCTAGAAGAAACACATATCCTAGAAACTCAACAGCTCCAATCAGAAAAAACTCAAAGAGATCTATACCTAGCCACACATATTCAAACTGTTGAAAGACAAGGACAAAAGAAGAAACTTGAAAGCACAGAGAAGTGACTCATCATGTACAGGGGATCCTTAAAAAGAGGAACAGCTAATTTCTTATCAGAATCCACAGAGGCCATAAGGCGTAGGATGACATATTCAAAGTGCTGAAAGAAAAAATACAAAACAAAAACGTGTCAACCAAGAATTTCTAAGTGTTTACAAAATTATCCAAAACTGAAGGAAAAATTAAGATATTTTCAAATAAAAATAGAGAACTCATTGCTAGCAGGCCTGTCTCACAAGAAATACCAAAGACAGTCCTTTAAGCTAAAATGAAGACACTAGACAGTAACTTAAATCTACTTGAAGAAATAAAGAACATGGGTAAGATAATCATACAGGTAAATATAAAAGTCAACATAGGGGCTCCTGGGTGGCTCAGTCAGTTGACCATCCAACTCTTGATTTCGGTTCAGGTCCTGATCTCATGGTCGTGGGACTGAGCCCCACACTGGGCTCTGCACTGAACTTGGAGCCTGCTTAGGACTCTCTCGCTCCCTCTCTGCCCCTCTTCCTCGTGCTCTCTAAAATAAAATTTTAAAAATGTTTTAAAAAAAGAAATAAATATAAATCTGTATTGATGATCACACAATGCATAAGCACATGCTTTGTATGACAAACCAGCACTGAAGGAAAGGACAGAACTATACAGCAACAGCTTTTGTGTATTATTAAAATTAAGTTGGAATCAAACTGAACTAAGTTGTTATAAAGATGATAATTGTGATCCCCAGGGCAAACCACTAAGAAAACAACTCAGGAAAAGGCAGTAGAAGAAATGACAAGGGAAATAAATTGGTATACTTGAAAATACCAATTTACCACAAAGGAAGGGAACAATGGCAGAATAGAGGAACAAAAAAGACATTTAGAAAACAAATAGCAAAATGGCAGACTAAACTGTATCTTATCAACCATTAGATAATGTAAATGGATTAAAATCTACAATAAAAAGGCAGGGATTGGCAACTTTATGCTGTCTATAGCAAAAATACAATTAGGTAGAAAGTAAAAAGATGGAACACGATATACCATGTAAACAATAACCCAAACAGATTTTGAAATAAACACTGTTACTAGAGAAGGACATTTTATAATGACAAAAGTGTCAATCCATTAAGAAGATATAACAATTACAAACATATATACATTTGTAAAAGAGGTCCAGAATACTTGAAGGAAAAACTGACAGGATCCAAGGAAGAAAGACAAGTTGGAGACTTTAATACCTCGCTTCCAATAATGGAGAAAACACCTACACAGAAAATCAGCCAAGAAAATATAAGACCTGAATAACACTATAAAGCAACTAGACCTGACAGACGTGTATGGAACCCTCCACACAACAGCAGCAAGATACACATTCTTCAAAACAAGTGCACATGGAATATTCTCCAGGACTGTATGTTAAACTATAAGTCTCCATAAATTTTAAAGGATTTATGAAATCATCCAAAGTCTGATCTCCAACCATAATGCAATGAGATTAAAAATCAATAATAAAAGGAAATTTGGGGAATTCACAAATATTTGGATTTTAAACAACAAACTCATAAATGACTAACTGATCAAAGAAGAAACCACAAAGGAAATTAGAAGATACTCTGAGATGAATTAGAATACATATACCAAAGCAAACCAAACAACCACACACACCAAAACTTAGGACTTAGGGAATGCAGCAAAAGCAATGTTTAGAGGGAAATTTAGAGCTGTAAACACCCACATTAAAAAGGCAGAAAGATCTCAAATCAATCATCTAAGCTTCTACCTTAAGAAACTAGGGGGGAGAGAAAGAGCAAACTAAACCTGAAGCAAGGAGGAAGGAAGTATTAAAGATTAGAGCAAAAATAAGTGAAATAGAAAATAGAAAAAACAGTTGGAAAAATAAATCAGTTAACCCAAAGGTTGGCTCTTTAAAAAGATCTATAAAACTGGCAAAGCTTCAGCTATATTGGAAAAAGAGAAAAGGGAGAAGACTTAAATCACTAAATCCTTTGCAACTCATGTTTCTCCTTGTAAGATTTCACCTAAGGCTGGGAAATATAAAAGATGTAAAACCCAAACTATCACTCTTACTTTCTTTTCCAACTCTAGTATAAGACAAAAGTGGAAAAGCTAAACTTTATTTTGAAAATTATTTATTTATTTAAGTAAGTAATCTCTGCACCCAGCGTGAAGCTCGAACACATGATCCCAAGATCAAGAGTCACATGCTCCACCGACTGAGCCAGCTAGTCGGCTCCCCTAAACTTTAGCCGACCCTAAACTTTAGATTTAAATGAATTAATGAGTTCACTTAAAAGTGCCTATCCTAGTGCCAAAGACAAATGAGTTGGCTATACAAGGTGTCGCTGCCTATCTCCTATCTAGGTTTAAGGGACACTCAAAAGCATTTTATTTATAATGCAAGGTCGAAGTTAAAATGATTTAAAACATTTTTATATGTTGAGTATTTACGTTAACAGTTGATCAAATGCCTAAATTTTCTAGCCTGGTATTAATAAGTGAAGCAAGTCTGCAAAGATGACATTAGCTTAAAATGAATGCCTTGACTAGTTCTTTAACAGTTAGCCTCTCCCTCTCCATTCCTCAATGCCACCTGTTCCACCAAGTCTGCCCTTTTCTCATCTATGCAACAGCAATACCCCGCCAATTAACACAGTAGAAGTGTACCTCCTTTGACCAATCCTGAAAGATCCCCTGAGCTTTTTCCTTTAGACACACTTAGTTTTCTCACATAAGTCAATATTGATAAAAATCTGTTAACTAGACTTGAGTGTTGCAAGTAAACACTGGGGAGACATAGAAGGCCCCTTCTATATCTTTCCTTCCAAATACAATCAGAATAATCTGCTAGGGATTAGGAAATTACCAAATACCTACTTATAAAACTGATAACTAGTAACTAATGATTCATAATGTCAAAATTGAAAATTATATTCAATAATAGGGTCATGGCTAACTAAATTACAAAACATCCCCTGGAGGGGGTAACTCACATTTATAAAGCATTTACAGTGCCTAAAGTAGCTTTAGAATTTTCCTTTTTCTCCACAGCAGTCTAGATAAAGAAACTGTAGGTATAACCTTACACCGAAGATAACACAGCATGTAAGAGTCAAGGGGGTCTCTCTTTAGTCTTAATGATTCCAAATCTATCTACTAAATTATGATGCAGCCATATATAAAAGGCTTACGAAGCATCATGGAGATTATTTATAATATACTCTTCCCAGTAGTAAAATGGCATATAAAATTGTATACTACAATCTTAAAGGTAAATATACTTTTAAGGGGATTTGGCAAAATAAAAACAGATGATGTACTGGGGTAGTAGGAATGCAATTTTTCATTAGTCATAATATGATTATTATTTACACAAACAATAAAAATTTGAATTAGTTTACCTATTAGACATATAGCCAGGGGAAGTTAAAATAAAAACAAACAAAAACCCTCACAGAACTAATAACCATAAAGCCAGAGCTCCAGGTACAAAACTGGGAAGTGCAAACTTCCTACAACAAAGGATACAGAGATGAGTTTCAAAAAATTATCTAGAAAGTTAGCCAATCAGCCAGTTAAGCATCTGACTCTTGCTTTTGGCTCAGATCATGAATTTGCAGTCCGTGGAACGAGCCGCCTGTCAGGCTCTGAGCTCACAGCATGGAATCTGCTTGGGATTTTCTCTCCTTCTCCCTCTGCCCCTCCCCTGCTTGTGAATCTCTCTCTCTCTCTCTCTCTCTCTCAAGTAAAATTTAAAAAATAAATAAGTAAATAAATAGCCAAATGAGCATGAGAACAGAAAGAGAAATCCAATCTTAAAGTTGCACAGCCTTTTGAACGTTTCAGGATATTGAACCAGCCCTGCATCCCAGGTAAAAATCCCACTTGGTCATGGTGAAAAAAATTTGTAATGCGTTCTGAACATTTCAAAATGCTATATTACCTAATGATTTAAGGGTGAAGACTCAGGTCTGGAGAGGTTAAGTGAAGAGCCAAAGTTTCATGGCTACCAAATTCAAATTAACACCTAAAGTCCTGCTTATAACCTAGCACAGTGACATTTACTGTCCTTTAAAGTATAAGGACTTTGGGGCGCCCGGGTGGCTCAGTTGGTTGGGCTTCCAACTTCAGCTCAGGTCATGATCTCATGGCTTGTGAGTTCAAGCCCCACGTCGGGCTCTGTGCTGACAGCTCAGAGCCTGGAGCCTGCTTCCGATTCTGTGTCTCCCTCTTTCTCTCTACCCCTCCCCTGCTCATGCTCTGTCTCTCTCTTCTCAAAAATAAATAAAAACATAAAAAATTTTTTTTTAAGTATAAGGACTTTAAAAAATTTCATAAAGAATTTCATATTCATACCAGAATAGGCAAATCTATAGGAAGAGAAAACAGATTAGTGGCTGCCAGGGGCTGAGGAGGGGAAAGGGGAAATGGGGAGTGACTGCAGAATGGGTTCTGGGTTTCCATTTCCAGTGAAGGATGCATGACTCTGAACGTACTTAATGTGACTGACCTGTCAATTTTAAATGGTTAAAAGTGTAAATTGTAGACTATTTACCACAATGAAAAAGTCTTACAGACATAATAACAGGTATGCTTTTAGTAGACAGTGATTCCACACATCTTAAAAGATTACAATCTTTTTTGATTTATTTTTTTAATTGTCCAATTCATCCTTTCAATTTCTGGGATGTGTTGTTTTGTTTTTTTTTAAGTTTATTTATATTTATTTTGAGAGAGAGAGATAGAGACAGAGAGAGAGAGAGAGAGAATTCAAAGCAGGCTCTGGACTTAGTGCAGGGCCCAATGCAGGGTTCAAACCCATGAACCCTGATTTTGTGACCTGAGCTGAAGTTTGATGGTTAACTGAGTCACTCAGACGCCCCGCTGGGATGTGTTAAAAGATTACAATCTTAAAAGAATTCAGTACTGCCTTATATTACTATTTTATTAATCGCAGCAGCAACATACTCTTAAGACATTTAGTCTACAATGTTTGAAGCACATACCTGATTTCTTTTAAGTCCCCAAGGACTTCATGACCCTCAAATTGGGAATCACAGTCTATGTTCCTTCTTAAACACACACGACAAAATAACTCTTTCTGATGCTTACAGGGCTTCCAAAAGTGATCTTTCAATGAGATAACCATACAGATGCTATCCAACCTTAGAGATTTCAGAGGGCCAGAGCATTAGATTTTATTTTCTGTACAGAAGTACCGTAATGCATTTTAGACTACCCTCCTCCTTAAAATTAATTTGCCACTTAATGTATTTTATAAATTTCTTATAATCTCCTCACAGTACATTTTAAATAGTTTCTGTAAGGATAAAAATAAATAAAACCAACATACTTAGCAACTGTTTACTGTACTCATGGCATTGTAAAAAATTTAAGAAATTTTGAATGGTCCCTATCCCCAAAGGAACCTGAAATATAGTTAGGAATATAAATTCATGAAAACGCAACTACCGTCAACTACTTCAAGGACAGCTTAAGACATGAAAGGAAGCACGCAGCAACATATATTGATTACTTGCCACAGGAACAGGAAGATAAAAACTGCTACAGGGTTTCAGAGAAAGGAGAGATTATTCCAGTCTATGGTGGTATGAAAAGGCTCTACAGGAGAACTGGATTTGAGTGAGTTGCATCTTGGAGAGCAAGCAAGATTTGGGGAAGTGAGGCCAAAAAAAAAAAAAAAAAAGAGAGAATTAGAACATCCCTCATTAAGCTTCATTTAATTCACCACTGCCTACAGAATTCTCATTTCTGTGCAAGGTACCAAAAATGTAAAGATAAGGCGCTCTGCGTGACCCTTGATCAAATTTCCTCTTGCAGGCCTGAAATCCTTCAAAACATATACTGTACAATTAATTATGCCCAACCCCCACCAGAGGAAATAAACGGGACTGGCAAATTTCTGATGACCATTGTTTTAAAATAAATCACAACTTAATCTGCATGCACCCTTCCCAAGAGGTAACTCTCCATATTACAATAAATCCAATGTATCCTCTTACAAGCTTTCTGTAAGAAATCTTTTTTCAGAACTATGTGTATTTCCTAATTAATATCACCACTAAAAAATAGAGAGGGACTTGCCCACTGAACACACTTTGGGTACAGAATTAAGGCAAGACTAGGTATCAATAATACCTGCCACTTCTGCCCCAAGAGTTGTAAAGAGGGTCAGAAGTCTCCCCACTCTGAAGTAGCACTATGAGATTACTGGGCAAAAGCACTTGTACACAATGATTTGTGTCCAAAAAGCTGGTTGGAGGTACGGTAGGGGTGGACATTAGATGAAATTTTAGGGGCGCCTGGGTGGCTCAGTCGGTTAAGCATCCGACTTCGGCTCAGGTCATGATCTCACAGTCCGTGAGTTCAAGCCCCGCGTCAGGCTCTGGGCTGACAGCTCAGAGCCTGGAGCCTGTTTCAGATTCTGTGTCTCCCTCTCTCTCTGACCCTCCCCCGTTCATGCTGTCTCTCCCTGTCTCAAAAATAAATAAACGTTAAAAAAAAAAAAAAGTAGATGAAATTTTATTCTACAATTTTGACTCCATCTTCCAAGGGCTCAATTAGATTGGTCCAGGGTAAGTACCTGATTTGAGCTGGGTAAATCTAAATATCCCACCCGGGCTAAAAATCCTGGCTAACTGCTATTCTAGGGATTTTTTTGAGCTGAAACTAGGAAATAAAGTCAATCTTTTTCTGGTGGTAGAAGTTGTAAGGGGTGAAACTGGGAGCCATAATGCAGCCACGATTCTTGCCACATGGAGAAAAGGGAAAAGTCATGCAGAAAAAGCAAATACCTCTGAATACTTTTAGGATAAAGCTACAAAATACAAAAAGTTCATGCTTTATCAGTCTGAAATATATCAAACCTTTTCCAGGAAGAGAGAAAATGTTATGTTAGTATTAAAGTTACTAGCCTTGTTTGTTCTTGGGTTCAACATAAGTGGCTTGCCTTTCTCTTTTATGTGCAAATGACGACATGCCAGAGTACAAGGAGCAGCAACTACTCTGATCCGGGACAACATCTTTCCTTTCACCTGGGAAAAAAGAAGCAAATAAACTTTTCAGAGAACTGCACGCACATCAGGTATCAGTTTTCAAAAGCAGATATAGAAAGCCTAATTTTCCACACTTGATAAAGCTTTTTCAAAGTACATTTATGTTTCTACAGGTTGCAACGGTTGTAAAAGAGTAATAGTTGGGTGAAGACAAAGACTGACCCTGGTTACTCATCATTGCCATTTTGTATATATGGCACACTACAAAATGTGCTAAACACTTATTCTTTTTCTAATCTACCCAAGCGTGACAAGGAATGTATCTCCCATTTATGGGACCAAAAAAATGGACAGATTAAGAAACAAGGTAACATCTAGTAAACATGACTTCCATGTAAATGGGTGTGGGAGTCTAGGCTGAAGGTGGAAAAGTTAAGTAACAGAAAAGCCTGGAGCGTAAACATTTAGAGGAAGAGAAGCTATTCAAATTCTTAACCTAGGGGCACCTGGGTGGCTCTGTCGGTTATGAGGCCTACTTCTGCTAGGCTCAGGTCGTGATCTTGCAGTACATGAGTTTGAGCCCCTCCTTGGGCTCTGTGCTGACAGCTCAGAGCCTGGAGTCTGCTTCGGATTCTGTGCCTCCTTTTCTCTCTGCCCCTCCCCTGCTCACACACAGTCTCTCTAAAAAATAAACATTTAAAAAAACGAAAAAAATAAGCCAAAAAACAAACAAATTCTTAACCTAGATGTAGGACTTTAATGTACTAATATTAGTATAATACTATACTTATTTTTATGTAATAATTATATATTATGTGTTATGGATTATGTAATGTACTAAATATTTTTTTGTTTTCAAAAACCCTGTTATTTAACATAGAAAAACATGCAAATTGGGTAGAAAACATGTTTTTACCCTTTCCTGTCCATCACATAGGAATTTTTCAAAATGGAAAATTCTACATACTACATTAAACATTAAATGATAGGAATATAATAGATTCTTCTGCATATCAATTCTCCCACCAAAAATCAACCTGCAATGCCCATTTATCATAATTATTACAAATCATTGCAATGATCCCGCAATAAGTTCTTAGTGGAATTTGTAGTTTTTGAGAAATCAAGGGTTTGTATGGGGGGTGCAGCAAACCGTTTATATTGGGATTATTTTTTAAGTGAAGTGAAATTCATATAACAAAACTTGCCATTTTCAAGTGAATAATTTGGAGGGATTTAGAAAAGCTATAATGTTGTGCAACCCCACATCTAGTTCCAAAATATCATCACTATCCCAGCAGAAAACACTGTACCCATTAAGCAGCTTTTCCCCTCCCCCAGTGCCCATAAACCACCAATCTGCTTACTGTCTTTATGGATTTACCTATTCTGAGTATTTCATATAAATGTAGTGTATAAGTACGGCCACAAAAACAAGAAATCTATATGATTATAAGAACATCAAAAATCATGAGAGATGGGGATGGGGGGATGGGAGGATAGGACAGATGTTTAAAGGTACAAACCTGCAGTGAGAGCCTTAAGAGATAGTAACTCCTAGAGATCTAATACATGATATAGTGAATATAGACAACAATGCTGTATTATAATCATCAAACTTGCTAGGAGACTACATCTTAATTGTTTCAACCACCAAAGAGAAATGATATAACATTAGAAGCAATAAATATCACTACAATGGCAATCATACTACAATATATAAATATATCAAATTAACATGTTGTACATCTTAACTTTATACAGTGTTTTATGTCAAATATACTTCAATAATAATAGTAATAAAGAATTACAAGAGATATACAACAAAATAATTGGGCCACTTTAAAAAGTTAACGTCCTGAAAGACAAACACTAAGGAACTACTGCAATTTAAAGAAGACTAAATATATGACAACTAGATGCAAAACCTAAATCAAAAAAAAAAAAATGCTATAAAGGACATTTATTGGGACAACTGGCAAAACTGAAACATGTACCATAGCTTACATAAAAGTTTTATAAAATTTTTAATTTCCTGAATTTGATAACCATATGTAAGAGACACCTGTGTTTCAAAAACACACAGTGAACTATTAAGGGGCCAAGAAGTATGATGTATGCAACCAAAGCCTTTCAAGTTACTTCAAAATAAATTTTAAAAAGACAGAAGTTGAAATGGTAGCATTGATCATGTGTTTGTGTGGCTCTTCCAGGAGAGACAGCATTATGTGTCACGATTAAAACTTTAGTACCAGAAGACTGAACTAGTATTTGCAGTATATTGGTGAGGTAGGCACATCTAAAATAATACGGAATACTTTTTACTTGAAATCAAAGAAAATCTGAAAAAAAAAAAAAAGCATTTTGTAATCAGCACTTGTTGTATAATAAGAAATGTATTTGCTTTTTGTCCCCAGTTTCTGGAACAGAGTTCCTAAAAGTCTTTGGAATTTCCTGCATGATAGGAGTATTTTCTGTTATTCATAAGCCACCCATATTGAGGTGACCCAGGGTGGACCACTACAAAGCCTCAGGGAAGAGCTGGTCACCAGAAACACCAAGCGATTAGAGAGCAGGAATTTTCAGCCCCACTCCGGAACCTCCAGAAAAGGGAAGTGGGCAGGGGCTAGAGACTCGTGAAGGAGATCTGCCAAGCTTTCAGGTTGGTGAACACACCTAGGTGCTGGGGGTTGGCACACTCAGGGAAGGCAGGGAAGCCCCACATCCTCCCCCGACTCCCATCGATACCCAGTTCTACGGATCTCTTCCATCTGTTCCTGAGTTGCATCCTTCTATAATAAACCGGTAAAGGCAAGTAAAGTATCTCTCTGAGTTCAATGTGCCATTATAAAATCATCCAGTTTGAGGAGGGGTTTATGGGAAGCCTCAGTTTATAGGTCAGAAGTATAGGTCCCAACCTGGACTTCCAATTGGCATCTGAAGTAGGGACATCTTTTACGAATGAACTCTTAACCTGTGGGATGTGACGCTATCTGCATTTGGACAGCGTCAGAATGAGGTTAAATTAAAGGACACCCAGTCAGCATCTGCTGAGAACTGGTGAATTGCTGGGTGTGGGGGGAAAAAATCCCATGTTTGGTGGTCAGAAGAATTGAGTCTGCAAGTAAGGAGAATTAGTTTTTCCTTTCAGAAGTTAAGATCAGCACTCTAATACATGAAATCTACTTTCAACTCCTGGTTAAAGTTTTGCTATCAAACACTGAATTTAGTCTGTTTAATAAAGATAATACCACCTGTCAAATCTACCTTACAGATAATTTTGATGATCAAATGAGAGAATATACCCAAAAAATATATAGATGTTATATCACTTACTTTATTAGTAAGTGATAGTAAAATAAAATATAAAAGTAATTTTAACAGTGTCTTTAAAACAGCAGGCATGAGTAAAAAACAAACAAACTTAAGGGGAAAAAATTCTGCCAAAATTAGAACCAAGGACTAAGAGACAGGTAGCCTTAATATCATCTGGGGAGGCAACAAGATAAAATGTTACGTTATGCAGATGTGATACAAGGAGAGTTAAGTAAAAAAAGGAACCAAAAGGCAGGGCTTCCAATTTTTAACCAACATGCAAAATCAAGCTGCCTGCTTAAGTGAGTTTCTGGGATACTGAGATATGCCTGTGGTTTCTCCCCTGGTGTGTCATTCACATGGCCTTGCCCTGGAACTTACTCTCTGCTGTTTACAAACTGGACTGGGACAGAAACTGCTAGGTCACTGGCTGCGGGAGACTACTCACCTTAGCCTCTTACTTGGGGTCAAAGGAAGCAATGCAAAGGAGACCGAAATTAGACAGAGGTCATGACTGGGGGCAACGAGGACAAGTTTTGTAGTCAGACCCAAGTCTGAATCTGGACTCGGCTCATGACCATTTTGCAATCAGTGGTGTCACCCAGGCATTCCCAAATGGTCTCTGAATTGGTGTTCATCTGGGACACGTTTTTCACGGGTCTGTGGCCAAATGAGAAAAAATGGGACAATGCAATATAGTCGTTCATAAAACAAAACTTATGGTCTTTGTTTTTGTGTTCTAATTACGATCTTCATACCTTTTTAGTGATAAAAAAAAATGTCCTTTCTTTTATGAAAAGACGGGCATTGCAGACTGTGGTAGTTTTTAAAAAGGTCCTTAACCTTGACAGAATTAAAAGTTGGCAGTCTATGTCTGGTCCCAACTGTCCCCCTGTGCATGCTTGCCCAAGAAGTCCCAAAGTCTGGGAACGACCACCTTACAAGTCTTACTTCTCTTATCAATGAACTAGCGGAGGGCAAACTCTATTGGGCAGAGCTGTGTGTAGTAATCAGGTATTTATAAAGTGTCAAGCAATTAGAGCTTTATCATCATCATTAAGAGCCTGACTACTTGACGTGAAGGTTTATTCAATAAAATCCATATCCAGGCAGGTCAGCAGTAGTCAAAGACAAGCTCTGGGTTCAACTACCAGATTTAAATCCAGGGTTGGCCAGTGCTAGCTCTGTGATTTTGAGTAAGTCTTGTTGCAGTCTTCTCATCACTCAAGTGGGGATGATAAACAACAGGACCTACTAAACAGTACCATTTTAAGATTTAAATTAGGTAATCCATGTAAGATGCTTATCACAGTGCCCTCCAAGTGCTTCAATGTTAGTTACCTAAGCACTACTAGTGGTAGTAAGAGACTAAGGTGGTCAGAAGGTGCCTCCTGAATGCCTGTGAGTTTCTGCATCAACATCTTCTGGTGTGAAATCCTTACTAAGAGGCTGTAAGGATGATCATGGTTAGCATTTATTTATACGACTTCAAATGAAATCTCTAGGTCAATAATGAGAATGTGGATGGCATACAGGTCCAGGCAACATCAAATGTCATCCTAAACAACATCTACAGAATCAATATAGTATTTTTATTACTTTTGAAATTTGTACGTGTTGATCAACAGAAATGATATGCAGCCATACAATCAAAACGGTGACTTTAAAATAAAAGTTAACTTTTAATAAAACAGGTTTTTAGAAAATTATAT